ATATATATATATATATATATATATATATATATATATATATATATATATATATATATATATATATATATATACTATATATATATACTATATATATATATATATATATATATATATATATATATATATATATATATATATATATTGTGATGTTAATGGATCTGTGCAATGAGAATCAGATCGTGATGAGATCACAATAATGAGACTGATTCACCTCTAAACACAACTTAAATAATTCTGGTCATAGGGTACTCGAGATGAACATCGAGATAACTAGATAGACTAATGTGTTATATACCTATCCATATGATGGAGACAGCTAGTCTCATAGCTGCTCTTGTGGGGACACTAGGGCTACACTGCATGTGCTCATTGAAAAATGAGTTAACTGATTGATTCGCTCATGGAATATTGAATGGTTGATGATAACTCATTGTCAGATAACGATTCCATCGTCCCAATAGTGTACCTGGTCCTTAGACTTGAGACACCAAGGATATCCTGTATGAGTACTCCACTCTTTGATACCGAACTTATGTTTGGAAGTTCCAAATCTAGCACAGCCGATCATCGAGAGTGGCAACTAACCTTACGAGGGCTATTGAGTGTTGATAGAGGATCATCCGATCTCGATATCATGAGAGAAATATCTCATGCGTTTTTGCTCAAACAAATCCTTGGCTAAGGTCATTCGAATTGAGAGATAAAGAGTTCTCCGAGAGAATCCGATTAGAACAAGATTCGAGAAGAAATCGTATGGGCTTGACAACACTATGCCCGTTATACGACCTCTAGGATATTAGATGGATGAGGGACTATAAGTACATGGTAACTGAGGACAGATAGGTCTAAAGGATTGGATTCTCCTATATCGTCTGGGAACTGCGGCATAGTAGTCTAGTACATCCGCAGTCGATGTGTCAAGTGAATTATTATGGAGATAATAATTCGTTGACCTAGAAGAAGTTCTGACAGGTACGACTCAAGATCAGCAAGATATTGAGCCTAGAGAGTCACACACATATGGTAGGTGTTGCGACGAGTATAGGTTCGGATATAAGATATCCGCCGGAGCCTCTATCTTATTGGATATCCATTAAGCCCCTGAATTATTGAATCATATAGATGAGATTCATTAAGAACTAATAAGAGATTATTAGGTAGAGACTCACTAATCTAAGAGGCTTGGGTAATTGGATAGAGATCTAATATCCACATGGTAGGATCCATTAGGGTTAAGTTGACAGGGGACCTCTATAAATAGGAGGGAACCAAAGGGTCATAAGCTAAGATTTTTGGTTGTCACGTCCTATTCTCCTCTCCTCTTCTTCTTCTCAATCAACAGATATGGAGATTTTGGTAGCGATTCGAGGAACGTCTTCATAGCCCTTGCAGTGTGGATCACCATTAGAAAGGAGAACACTTGATCTCCTTCATCCTCTCACATAGATCTACAAAAATTTAAGGATATATGATTTCCATATGTAACATAACTATCTCACACGTGATTTTCAGTTTTACGGGTTTTTGTACATCAATATTCGTATGACGACGAACACCTTTTTGAGAAATATGAGATTTTTATTTTTTATTCCTTCGTCCTTTCAGCAACGTCTACTCTCCACATCAACCGGGTCAACTCATCGGTCGACGATCTTTGTGTGTTCACAATACCGGTAAGAATGCGATCAACCAAGCAAACATTAGAGAAAAATTATATACATAAAGGTTAGATATCAAAGTAACCAATTGCAAATCAAACTCAATGAGCCCTTGAAGAAATATATAAATTTTTAGCAGAGAAAATTTTCTATTTTTGACTAAGAAAAGGAAACAAAAAACAAACCAGAAGAGGAAAACAGGGAAAACCTTCATCACCCAGCATCTGCCGCAGTATCTTCCTCATCTGCCTCAACCTCCCCTCTTTGGCCAAAGCATGGCAAACCTCCAATCTCGCCAGCATCGGGTCCTGCTCAGACCACCGAGGGCACGAGACCATTTCCTTCTGCTTCAAAACTCCTTTTTCAGCCACAACGTTGCTATTAGAGCGACAAGAAAGATAGAGCCCGAGCTCTAGATTCGACAGGGCTAGGATATCTCTCGAGCAACTCTTAGGGTCCCAACCCCCAGAATCCGAGACGAGCTCCTCCGCCGCGTCCGCAGCCGCCACAGACGAGAGCGGGTGTTTACCAGCGAAACACGGACAAGGAATTCGGCGGAGAGATCGAATCTTCCGTCGGAAAAGCATCGAAAGGCTAGTGTTTCATAATGGCGAGTGAGGGAAAACCAGGCACACAAAAGGAAAAGGAAGAAGAGGAAACCCTCGAGCGGTCTTTGTTCTTCACCGTCGTCTCCATTCGAACAACCAAAAAAAGCGTTCGAACCCACGGTTCGGTCGGCGAGAAGGATCAGCCTCATGTCGGCCGTGCGATCGAAATCAACGGATCGCATGTCACCTAGAAATCCATAACGTTCACTACTTGTATTATATTTATAATTCTCACGAAAGTTTTATAATTCCAAAAAATATTTTTTAAAAAAAGCGGGTGATGGATGATTATATTTATTTTTAAATCTATTACTTCGATGAATGTCTCAAAATTGTGAGTGTATAAAATATTTATGAGTATTTTGTACGGGACTCGAGTAATAAATGATATTGAAGCAGGTAGTTAATTCACGGCATGATTATGTAATTCTTTTTATCATCATTTAATCATGAATGTATGAAATTCTTTAGAAAGATAAGAAAAAATAATTTTATTTATAAATAATCAAGTATTAGTTTGATAGAAGATAAGACGAGAGAAAATAGTTTGATATGATACGAGAGAAGTCTCTCGAAAGGTAAAATTATTAATATTAGTGATACAATGAGGGGATAATTATAAATTATCTCTTGTAATTAGCTATCTTTAATATCTAGTCTATATATTTTTAAAAAATATATTAAAATCTTTATATTTACAAAGTAAAATATTTAACCTTGTTACTTTAATAAAATCTGTCAGATCTTAATATTTCACTTTCGTAAGTATAAAAATCTCAATGTAATTTATGAAAGTATAAGAATCGAAATATTAAATATAGTTAATTATATAGGATAATCTATAATTAACCCTACGATGAGAGATAGAGAAAGACTTTACAAGACCTTAATAAAAATTATAAATAAATATTTTAGTATTATGAACTTAACTAAACATATAGATTTTTACAAATATTAATGATGTCAAAAAATCAACTTATGACATCATCATCGTCAAATCTCAATGATTCCAAATAATAAAAACTTACGACATCAAATCTCAATGATTCCAAATACTTGAAACTCATCAGCGTCATCTCCAAAATGATCAACTAATCCTTTTAGGTAAACAATGAAATAATATTTAATAGAAAAGAAAGAAAGAAACAAAGAAAGCCTCATCAACCATTAATTATAAGTTTTGGATTTAGATATCATCGATAAACAACTACAAAACCCACAGGTACCTCACAACACAATAAATTATCATAGAGAATGGTGTTTGTATATAAGTAGCAAACATCAAATGATATATTTCTTCTACGGGTACAATAAAAAGTACCAATATATTTATTACACAGAAATTACCTGAACAATGACACTCATATAACATAAAAATCGGTGAAGTATTCCTTCTTCAGCATCAAAGCACGACAAATGTAGTTTAGGCTGGCAGAGTGTTTGCTATGTCAATAACAAAACGATATTTGACGTCTCCCTTAGCGAGCCGCTCCATGGCCACATTGATATATTTCATTGGAATGACCTCTACATCTGCGGTGATGTTGTGCTTGGAGGCGAAGTAGAGCATTTCTTGCGTCTCCTCTATCCCTCCTGTGGCACTGCCCGCCACAAGCTTTCGACCTGTCAAATTCGTCTCTCATCAATCTAACAGATCATAGAGATAGTTCATCATCTAGACAAGTTTTCGGTGTTCGAAAGAGATGGATCAAATGTCGAAGATGCTACTTCGCTTACCTACAAGCAGAGGAAAAATCGGAAGGTCAAGTGGCTCTGGAGGTGCTCCCACCATAATTAGCTTGCCATGATGCTTCAAGAGATCCAACAAAGGCAAGAGAGAGTGTTGAGCAGAGACCGTATCAATTATGCCATCCATGGTCGCCATGGCGGCCTACACAGAGTATTAGGAAGAGGCAATAAATTCATAGCGCAAAAACTTGATCGCACTGATTTGATCGATTACGTAGATTCGTATGTATGAACTATACGAAGCAAAATGGAAGAGGCAATAAATTTATGTATACCTTCATTTGCTCCTCATCGCGGCTTACAATGAAAGCATCAGCACCGAGCTCCTCCACTGCTTCTTTCCGTTTGCCGGGCGAAGTGCTGATGACCGTGACCTTCACGCCGAAGGCCTTGGCGAACTTGACGGCCAGATGGCCGAGGCCTCCGAGGCCGACGACGCCCAGGTGCGTCCCCGGCTGGGATAGCCCGAAGTACTTCATGGGACTGTACACGGTGATTCCCGCGCACAAGAGCGGTGCCCCGGCCGCCATGGGCAGGCCGTCGGGAAAGCCGAGAACGTAATGTTCCTCCACCACGGTCTCGTCGGAGTACCCTCCGTACGTACGAGTGCCGTCGTGATAGAGGTCGTTGTAGGTGAGAATGGATTTCCGGCAGTAGCTCTCCCTCTTGTTGATGCAGTCGTCGCACTCGTCGCACCCGCCGACCATGCAGCCGACCGCGACGGTGTCTCCAACGCGGAACTTTCGCACGCTGCTGCCCACCTGTGTGACGACCCCCACGATCTCGTGCCTGCGATGTCAACAGACGTGAGCTGCTTCCAATTGCCAACTCGATCCAAGGAGTTGAGAAGGAGGTTTTGATTACCCAGGAACGAGAGGATACACAGAAAAGCCCCATTCATTCTTCAGGAAATGAAGGTCCGAATGGCACACTCCGCAGTACAGGATCTTTATACCGACATCCTTTGGTCCGGTGCTTCTGAAGAGAAATAGGAAGAACAAAGAACCAAATTATAAGCATCGATTAGATCTCTTTTCCGAGAACACCTCAGCAGTGATGAAGAAGGATCATAAAGGAGAAGACGAACCAACAACGTACCTTCTGGAGAAGTTAAAAGGGGAGAGCACACCGGTAGTATCGCGAGCAGCCCAACCGAAGGCCTTCTGAGGGTGTTCTTCCGCAGGAGACATCGCCATGCGTCCACCGGTGATAATTAGTCGAAGAGAGCAGCGATTGCCTTCTCTTTCGGTGCTTGCCTTACGCTCGCTGCCCGGTTATATATATAGTATCGGCGAGTGGATGGAACATGTAATCGCTGACGAAAGAGCTTTGGACATTCCTATAGCCGCCGCGAACTTTTGAATCGTTACCGTGATGAATACTAATATCCTCTGGCATATGATGCAAGTGCTTGCGCAGTTGCAGAGTTCAATAGTATCTTTTACGGATTCAAAATTTTATCTTATACCTAAAATAATGATTCAATAGTAATAGTAGAGGTTCCGTACTCGTTGATAGTGAATATATATTAAAAAAATAAATGAGTTCCTTAGAAGGGTCTTTTTGTATGAACGAGAATTAACAGTTTTCATATAAAACAAAATTGGAGGAGGAAGAATCAATAGACACACATCATCTTATAGAGAGAAAGAAGCACTAAAATCAATAGACTCACTCACTCTTCTGTTTGACTTCTACCCTGAGCACAGGTAAGGTATCCGTAGATAAACACAACACATGATATCACGTGCTTTAACGATTTTATAAATAAAAAAATATAAATTTAATATGCTTATAACATAAATGAGATTATTTATTTTACTTTCAAAACTATAAAAATCCATATATAAATTTTTTAGGTATAAGAACTATGATGTTGGTCTTTTTCCTTTGGCTCATGTCTCGAGCTACGTAGCAACCCATATTTATTAGTAATACATGTCCAGTTCATGAATAATTTATTTCTGTATGCAACCCAAATCTGATTTGTATCCACCTCCACCCTCACATATCTGATATAAAATTCTAACAAAATCAGACGAACAAACTAAACATCTATCATATTCTCAAAGTGAAAATTATTAAGAATATGGTTTCTATTTTAACAGTCTGTCAATATTCAACAAGTTGTAGCCGGACATTGTTGGCAAATGACTAACAAGGTGATGCAATCTACCATTGGCCAGTCGATCCCCAGCTCTCTGTCACGGGTGTAATCGTCATCATCTTACACAATAATAATCTGAACATAACGCCAAACATTATTGTGTTACTGTGAATTGAGATCAACAAGGTGCATCAGATACGAGTTTACTTGGGACGCCTGCGATCATACAGTATATCTTCGAAATTATTCTTTATAGAGTAACCCACTCTGACGAGGTTTTTAACTACACCTGAGGCCACAAGCCCCGCGCTCCTGGAAAACCTGCATCAAAATAAGCTTCAATGCTTATGGTCATTTCATGTGACAAGCTGGTAATATTAGATAACATGATTAGGGTAAGAACACACTTGCTAAAGAAGTTATTCTGGGGCGAATGTACCGTTTTTGCTTCCTCCCTATGCGAATGAATAGGAACTGCAAAATTGCAAAGGCAACTAGTAAAAAAGATTATATTTCAGGAATAAAATTAAAGAATGGCATGAACTTTTTAACCTCAATTTACAAGACAGCAAGATTAGGGAAAGCACTTGTTGAGAATAAACAAGGGTGTCTTGAAGGTTTGTTAATAATAGTGACTGCAGAAAAAGCTGAACAGGTAAATTTGACAACAGATATTTACCAGGCATGCTGAAAAAAAAAGCAGGATATGCTTCAATGTAGATCTTCGAATGTATGATGATTTTCAAAGTGTGATGATCTATGAATGAAGTTTAGCAAATTTCATCTTTAGACACTGGTCAACTAGTGTACCAAAAAGAACGGTCTTTTTGTCTGCATCAAGTTATATCCACACAATGGTAAAGACCACATAAATGCAAAAGTAAAGAAGCTAGGAACATTTGAAGATTGACATAAGAACAGACTCCAAACCATATTATCTGAAAAAAAAAAGCTGTGTGTCGGTAAAAAACACCCCAGTTCCTCCAAGAAAAGTGTTGCTTAGAAGGAAAAAAGCCATAGAGTTGTCTTCCATTAGTATACCTGTAAATTTTTGGACCCCTGTTGATCGTGGTTCAGAGATGAAATATTTTACCACACAAAAAAGTTGCACAACCAACCAAAATAGATATATTTCATCGAACAGCATCAAGGCAGAAAGTCTCATCTAGAGAAACAATGGTCAAAGTGTAAAAGACCCTGGTAAAGCTCTAATTAGCCATTCTCCATTACATTCTACTTGTAATCGTCAGCAGATCAAGGCCTGCAACAGTTCATGTAATTTGTTATTATTTATAACCATAGAATTCATAAGGAATGAAGGAAAATTCTGATCATCAATCATGTCATTTCTCGAAAATATCCTCTTGCATATATTCCCCTCAGCAATATTCTTCAACTTATTGAATGTCTAATTTCTATAAGGCTTTACATAATTACAAAATCTACCCTGACATAACAAACCCCAAATTGGTCTCAAATGTACAGATTGGTGAATTGATGGTCAAATGCCCAACCAAGCTGATCCGGAAAATACAACATTCACCACCAAAATGCTCAACTCGGAAAAAAGTATAATGAAAAATCCAATCTTTCCCTTAGGTTTTAATGCTTACAAAATCTGCTTTGCTTAGTGAATGCAAATTGATGTGTATTATGGTATAATGATCTCCCACATACTTAACAAGGCTCATCACCAACATAAGAAGATGATTTTGGGGAAGTATGAATACTATGTCATCAATTCTTGTATATCCCCAGATGCTTCTAGGAATTGCAGAACATCCAACATTCTATTACTTGTATAGTTTACAGTAAAAGCATTCAGCTATCAGAAACAATTAACATCTCCCTTATCCAAAGGACTTGACAAAGAATCTAAGCTCGATATTCTCATTATTAGCGCATCATAAAGCAATAACAGATTGCCTCCATGAATTTACGACAGTTGCATATATGTGATTGCTAAACTGTGAATAATGATAATTAAAAAAAAGTTAGTCATAGAAACAACTTGGGGGCATTATATTACCTTCCTTATTGTGCACATGAGTGGGCACATGCTCAGCTGCTGATGTTTTCCTATCCACTAACAGCTGCAAAAAAATTTAATGTATCATTAGAACATCAACAACCAGGCATTTCATTCAAAGAGTAATTTGCAGGTGGAAGTCACCTGCAATGGAGAAGGATACAAATACTACAACATGCAGATATACCAAATATGGAAAATCCAGAAAAGATGATAGATAACACATGTTTCCATCAATGCAGAACATATTTGAACATTTGGTCAAATTTCAAGGATATGGAGCTCATAGTCACCAATAAGTGCCGACTAGAATAACATGAGAGCTACGACTCTTATCCCAGCTGTAGCCACTCAGCATCTTGGAGGTACGATGAATGTTCAAGATCAAGTGAGGACTGGCTAAAGAGGGTGACTAGTTTGTGTACATAGAGCACAGGAGAGGGAGGTACCACTTTGTCACAGGATGTTAACAAGGGCTGCCCTCTATCATGTTGCCCTTGCCTAAAATTATACGTAACACACAAACAGAAACAACTGCTCGTATACGTAGGCACATCCAACCAGTGCAGAATATGTGGATCTAAGCTCTTGTATCTGCTTTTGAAAAACTTAAAATATTTTCTGTCAGAAAGTGTAATCCAAAATGTTCAAATAGGTAGAATCTAAAAGAGAAATGTATAAGGGTCTTCTTATGTATATAATTTTTCACATATGCATCATATCGGTCAAGGATTTACAGAGCAAAAGTTTTCACAACATCTTTCTATTTTTTTATTCTCCTCCAATACTAAAATTCATTTGCAACAAGTAAAGTCTGATTTGCATGTTTAGAATGGAACATCTGTTTGACAAAGTTTGCAATTAAAAGATTTTCAGATATTTTTCTGTTCTCTAATTCTCTATTTAAGCATTTATTCTTCAAATTATTCATCAAACATAAACAGCCTTAACAAATTCCTTTACCATTTTTCTTCAGACAATAAATTAACTGCAGCCATATATCATTCACATTTGTCAAAAATGAGTAACCCAAGTCAGAACATGTAAAATAAGTGAGAAGAAGATCAATTCCAAAGAAAGATTATTTTAGGGAGGAGGGAAAGCAGAAATTGAAATTCGTAACAGTACAGTTAGTTTAGTTTTATCAAGGTAAAAGATAGTCATTTTTAGGAAAACAGTCCAAGCATCAATCAGCCTAAGCTGAGACAGCCTGTAAACCTTTTAGTTCATCCATACACATTGCCTTTAATGAATGCAGCAAGATGGTATCAAATTCACTAGGCCACAACTGACTGACCCATTTAATATAGAAACCTAAATCTTGTAAACAAATTAAAATGTGATGATTAGTTTAATGAGATTTAATATTCATTAACCCGATAACATTCACCAACCCATTACCATAAAAGATGTTTTGACTTCTTTTCTTGCACTTAATTATTTTGGCACTTAAACTATGCCCTAAGAGTTCCACCTACCATCAATGTCTCCCTGTGGATGGCTAATGGTGCTCCAATGACGGAAACTGAATGAATAAATGGAGATGGTGATATTCTTAGCTGACAGCACTTTTAATTCTTTTCCACTTTTTAGTAAAGTTATATTATCTACATACATTTTTTCCTCAATCTTCCATGTAATCAGCTATTGTTTCGCTAGAGGAGTTGGTAAATAAGATGACTACAGTCATGGTGCCCCTCTGCCGGTTTGGCAACAGTTGCAGAGGCAGGTGCTGTTTACATGGCAGCAGTAATTGGACAACCTTAATCATTAGGCAACCACCAGACAACCACCTAGCGTCTAGACATTAACCATCTAGCACAAATGTTTTCCATAAAATCGAGCAAGATAAAATAATTTACTAGATTACCACTTATATTGGTTCCTCAGTTCACTTCCCCTTTAGTCATGTGCACAAATACAACAGCTTATGTAATTAATTTTAACCTAACCAGCAAAGTATTATATGCAGCATACTGGGATCCAATTCACTGAAATGATTGTAATAGTGATTCCAATAGTTGTATAGGTGTTACTCAAAACATGCAGCAAGCAGTAAAAAGCAAGAACACATAAGCAAATGACAGTCAACACAAACAAATTCCAGGCTTTCCCTATCACTCCTTTATTGCATAAAAGAACTTGAAATGGGTGATTTTCTGCATTGATCTTATTGAATGCATAGAAGTACTTGTATCAACATCTAAGGTGCATCAGAAACAGAAAACTAAATTGAGTTTCATAAAAGCTTTAACAAGAACAAACACGATGATATAAGTTCGAAAAGACCTCAAGGCCCACACAAAAAGGCAACTTTGCTTGATTCTCTTGATTTTCAGTGGTATTTTCTTTGTCATTCAAGAACACTGAATAACCAACGCAAACGTATCTGAAGTCTGAGAGGCTTCGACCTTCTTTATCAGCTTCCATCTCAGATTCCCCCACAATGGAGCTAGGAACTACTGAACAACTTCAAGTGTGAGAAATAGTGAAATTCAACAAAATGTACTCAAATTTTTAAGTTAATTACCTAAATTAGATTTCCCAGAAAAAAATAATTAGTTGCTGAAGTTATACCTACAACTCTCATAGCAGAAACATCTATGGCAAATAATCTAATTTTAAAGTGAATTGTTGGAAGTTTTACTTTAAATTTCCCAAATGTACCATTTTTACTTTAAATTTCACATTGAAATTGCATGTAGGGCCCGAAGAAACAGTCATGTCTCAAGCAAGCATGTTTTAAATTTGGCTCAGATGCACACATAAAATGCACAAATTAACTACGACAATAACAAGTGTGAAGAATAAAAGGATCACATCCCTAGAATGCTCTAAGTAGATTGCAATGGTGTGAAACAATCGATGCATCCAACACCAGATATTTGAAAACTTTTTTTTTGTTGCTTTTGTTCTTATGGCTGTGAGAAAAGTAGGAAAACATAATATAAAGATAATACCCCATGCACTCTAGCAAGGCATAAGGAAACCAACTTAAAGTTGAAAAAGATGGAGAATTCTTAGGCACGTACAACTTATCCTGTAAGGAATAAACATGAGAAAACAAGAAAATAAGGCATTGGTGAATCTTTGCCTCCAATCCTGGTAACCAGGGAGACACATTGAGTCATGAAGGTGATGCTTTTGGAAAATTAGTTACTTAGAAAAGTCAGCAATAAAAGAACTGGTTGTGTAGATTAAAAGAATATTCATAAACAACACGAATACTCATTTTCTGTAAGAAACTTTTAGATTCCTCACTAATACCATAGAATCCATCAGCTCACCCATATTTTCTATGCAAAAAGTTACAAGTTCCCATAATCAGATAATAAAAAGTAATTTTGTTTTGAATTTTGTTCAATCACATTATGACAAAAAGACGCAATTACTTTGCTCTTGTGAATAAAAAGTTCACAAGAACAAGAGAATGAGAGGAAAAAAAAACATTTTCGAGCCTATAGAGAAGAAGTTATGGCAAATATACTTATGATGAAGTAATTCTTTCGAAGAAGGTTTATTCAGCTCCTACCCGGATGCAGGTTAATCTAAAGCGGTTCCACGTTCACCAAAGAGGGTTAAAACAGACAGGCTCTTACAAAAGGCAGTATGTCATCATTTACAAGGTGAGAAGCACAAATTATGTTTTCATCATTTCACTCAAAATGAAAAATGGGGTGGAATTCTGTCTCTCCTGACATTTTGTTGATGTGTGCATCAAAGGAAGTGCTAGCATGTAATACCAGCAAGAAAGCATCTGAATTAACAAAATCAAACATATAACTTTAGTCCTATAAAAATTGTATAATTTTCATAATGTTTTCTTATCAATTTTAATTTTAAGATCTTCCAAGAAAGTACATGTCATAACCTCCGCCTGCCTCCGATGATTTCAGCATCCAAAGCATTCTTGGTCACTTAACATCGTGTTGCAAATTTCTATTAAAAATTATATTAAATATAGCAGTCGTTTGTCTAAACTAATTATATAAACAACAAGATACCGACAACCCATCTATATGAAAAACAAAAAAAGCAAACAGATACACTGTGATCAATTGTTTGGGTCTATATATGGTCAATAGCTCATCAGATTGCCACATTTTCAAGAGAAAAATCTTAAGATCAGATACTAAAAATTAAGGAATCACGTAGAAACACTCATTCTGATCCCCGTTTCCTTATAGCACATCTACAAAACTGTACCTATTTTTCTTGCTCAATCGATGAAATTAATCCCTTATCGTCGTCAATCTAAATGATTAAGCAAGGGAACGGACAAACCTACCAACAGTATCCAACGGGGTGAAGCATCACAAAACGGATCAAAATCATTCCCAAAACATCCAAACAAGGTAAGGAAAGAGGGGAGAAAGAAGGAATCGAACCATGTTTGAGCGGCCTCGTGAGGCCAAGACATAAAGGGTTTCTGGAGTCCGATTTGAGGAGCGAGGAGTAATACAGGCAGCCCTTGCAGGATTTGCCCTGGCTCGCATTACGCAGCGAATCTCCGGCATCGCCTCCGCCTCGATCGGCGCCGCCGGCCGACGAGCTCTCCTCCATCGCCCCCGCGGTAGACGCTCCAGATCCGATACTGCAGCTCGGTTTGCAGGTACGCTCCTCCGCCGCTCTGCGTGCTTCCGCTCTTGGGAGAGAAAAAGACGTCCTCAGGATAAAGGAATGACGTGGTTATTGCCAAAAAGAAGTATTTTATCTTTGACAACTTTCTGGAGAAACTCTTTAACTTTTAAATGGTCATTTTTGACAGCAAAAGTAAATCAAACTAAAATAATAATAAAATACAAAAATAATATAAAGCAAATTTAAATTACCCTAAAAATTATAAAAATATCTTAAAGAGTAAAAAAAAGGTATAATTCATGTCTTTATTTTATAATAATATCCAACTATTCTATGAATATTTTAAATTAAATTAATTTAAAATTCTTGTAGAATTATTAAAATAGAAAATCTTTTAAAGGCATAAAAAAAATTAAAGAATTAAAATTTTTAGTTTTGTGGATAATTCTTGGTCTAAAAAAAAACTTAAGATGTATTCTTGAGTTTTTATTTATCAAAATGGTCCCCACAACCTATAAGACCAAACCTATAGAATTTGAATTTTTGAAAATAATGTGAGTATATCAATTTTAAGAATTTATTATTCATTCAGTTTGACGTTCAATTTTTTTGATATGATAATCATCTATTATAATGTTTGATTCTTTGGCTCGACCCTATAGCTACCTAAATCTATAATCAAAATATTTCATACTTCACTTAGTATAGCTTTAGTTCATTAAATCAACAAGTCTAAGCTATTATTCTCTCAAACCCTGTTATTTCTCTTTGGATCAAAAACATTGACATCAAAAATACTACCACTATCATTAATGATACCACGACCACCCTAAGTAATACCACTGTGAATAATATTGTCAAAGCATCAATAATATTGTCGGGTGACTCGTATAGTATCACCATAAGGTGAAGCTATGTGTTTCACCTTTAAAGGGTTAACGTTTAACTCGATATAAACCTAATCTAATGATTGCCTAAATAAAAGACTTTGATTTGATGATTATCCAATTTAGCCTATTTTGATGGTTAATCAAGACTAGTCCTCGTCCATAACTCATCTTACACGTTATCGAAGCTTTCGATGCTTCATAAAATTTTTTGATCATGTTATCGAATCTTTGAGCACATTATCCTATGCTCTATGATGCTCATTTTTTTATACATCAATCAATTTTCTGACTTGATGATCTTTTAGCTTGATGATCGATACTTTGACTCAACATTTGACTCATTTGATGATATTTTAGTACAATGAATAATTCCCTTAGTTGAAATGTTTTGTGTGTCACTTATCTCAAAAATATAATAACTCATCAAATTTATTAATTGTTTCATCATCAAATTTTGGGATTATCTTACTATGAAATTTATTAAAGCATCACACGAACGCCCATTCCAACTATGAAACATCGTATTATAACAATACGATCGAATTCAATTATAAAGCATTGTATTATAATAAAATAATTAAATTTGATCATAAATTATTCTCATACATGATGTGATCGAATTTACTCATGAAATATTCGACAATATGATCAAATCTACCATGAAATACTATACCAAAAATCTTATTAATTAAGACAAAAGAGTATGGTTACAAAACATTGTTAAAAAATGACATATTTATCGTCGATCTCAAAGTAACCATCGAACAATCTACGGTTACAAAATAATATATGTATTTATATAGTAAATGATATAATCAATAACCTATCGAATAAGATATCATATCTGAAATTTTTGTATGTATCGAACTACGATAAGAGGCATATGATATAAGCCTTTGACATATAAACATTCTAACGATATATCACGTTCATACTATAAATACATAAGTTGAACCCTTATTTTATAGGGATAATGATTCACTTAATGTTGAGAAAGATAATAACTCGATTTTGATAGAATAATTTAGTTAACTAAAAAGATAAGGTAACATCGATCGTCATTCCATAACTCCATGATTTGACATAGGATCTCATGACTAAATGATTATATTTAATAATTCTTAATATTAACACCTATCTCAATTTAATAATTCCTTCAAAATAATATTAAAAAAAATTCTCATGTGCCTCATTAAGACTCCCTAAAAATCATATCTCCTGCTGCTTTAGAGCCACTCAAATTATCGATAGGCTAATTGATATATTAACTTCGTTTAGTTTAAACTAAAATATTTAAGTTGAAGTTGATAGTAGTATATTCACCGGACTCATCAATATAAAAATAAATTCATCATCGTAGACACCTGTCATGTAAAAATGAATCCAATTGGATCTAAATATTCATGAGAGACGATCGAAAATCTGACTCATCAATATATAACATAGTTATCATCTAATCCTTTTCATTGTTTCGGATAAAAGTCATCCCAGATAAAAAAAGAAAAATAATAATTATTATAGACAGTTTTTACAGGCAACTTCTTTTTTGTTTTATTTTTTTTATTATCTGGCGAGTGCCTAAGACCCGCAGGCCCCAGCAGTGGTACCCACCACCCCGGTCGCTGGCCGAATCACCGTTGAAAACACATCAGGGTTTGATGGAAGCCACAAATACGAGTCCGACGCCATCCACCACAAGTTTCAAGTGTGACTCGGCCCCGAAGAACATGGGAATCCAAATGCTGCGGGCCCGTAAAAGCATCATAGATTCTTCCCACTTATTCTCTGTAGAAGAAAAAGGTTTCTATAAACCCTCTTAGCGTTTACAAGCCATTCATCCTGTCGTACATGTATTGTTCCTCCAGTGAGCTCATTTTCCGTGTACTTTGGAGCCGGATCGTCCTCAACCCTAGCCTTTCCCTCTGATCCGTCTCCTCTCTCCTTTCGCCCCGTTTCCCTCCGCTTCTCCTTCGACACCCGACCTCATCCATTCTTCTCCCTCGTCGCCGCCGCCGCCGCCGCCGCCGCGGCCACTGCCGCCGTTCACCTTTCCCCGTCCGCCTCGGGTGGCCCGGAGTCGAGCAACGAAGTACCCGGCTCCTCGTCCCACTTCGTACGAACCCGTGTTTTCTCTTCGTGGTGATCCGAAAGAGGGTTGGCTCGTGCTCGCGGATCAAAATCAATCAGGTCCGTTTCTGCAACATCTAATTCGGTACATCTTTCTTGGTTCTTGTTTCTTGATCCCTCCAAGAAACCTTTTCGTCTTTCCATTCTTTTTCCCCCACTTTTATGTGCGCGCGTGCGTGTAAGGGGCCATACACTAGAGACGGAATGAAACATTCTTCTAGGCTGTCGATATTAGAATATTTTCACGCTTACTAGGTTTCTGTCTGATAACGTGTCCAATATACGGATCTTAATGGAAAGCCTTGGTTGTAGTATTACTTTCGTCAGTTACTGAATGGAAAAAGTCGTTGGTATGTTTTAGCCTGTGTATGATCTGATTCACATCTTTTGTGGTGGAATTAATTGATTGTGCTGTTTTCTAATTTTGTTTGTATGAGTTTTATGTGAAACAATAACTTACTCGGTTAACATTGTTAGCTTATGAGATCTATGCAAATCCACTTAATTTTCTCGTCCAAGTTACACATATAAGTTGTTTGTACACAGAACGCCACTTAGCATATGCGAATAGGTTGGTCTGGCTGAAGCATATATCACTATAGAGGTTGGTACCAGGGAATTCAATTTTGGATATTGGACCCAGACCGGCCCATGTACAGTGTTGCTATTTTTCTGGTTTTTTGGCGAAGGAAGGAGGAAAAAAGAGGAGGAGAATAAGATGTATTGGTACGGTGATGAATATGAAAAATATAATTTAGACAAGGCATATCATAACATTTTGTATAGGTTTCTTGGTGTACTTCTAAAGGAGGACTCTTGAGTACTCATTGATGGATGTCAAAGATTAGCCATGAGAAATAGTAGAAGCATGAAAGCTTATCTATTACTGAATATGGTGAGTTCTTTCTCATTTCATTGATGTGATTTAGTAACTGACAGCAAAAACTGAGTAGATCACTATTTACTCAGGGAAATATATAGATAATATAGGAACAATGTAACCCTGATGGTTTTTTGATTTTGGGCCCAATGTTCAGTATTTAAGTAAGCCATGATAAACGTAGGAAGCTGAAATAGAGAGAGACTAGGGTATTCTCGTAAGGAATGGCAATCTGAAATGTCATTCATGTGTCTGGTCATGGGAGTTTATCATGTGAATGTCTCTTATAAGGCTTTATGCAAACCTATATTGTTTACAGACGAATGTCTGAATGATTTGATTGCTTCATGTGGCTGATCACAGGAGTGTATCATGTGAATGTCTCTTATAAGGCTTTATGCAGACTTATGTTGTATAGAACATGTCTGAATGATTTAATTGCTTACTGTATACATATGCATCCATGTATAGCCAGCTTATTGAATGCTTTTGTCTACTCATGCATATGCCACCTTTTCTTATTCAAATTGTCTTTATATTGTTGCTGGTCTTGTTTCTGTGATTATTGTTAATCATTATCTTGACGATGATCATAATTTTGTAATAGGCCTTTTTAGTTATCGATGTTGATCAAATCAAGTATTGGGTTATTGGTTCATTGGTTGCAGTCACTTACTCATGTGCCAAAGCTGTTACTTCTTTCTAAAGCTGGAGAACCAAGGCATCATGCAATTAGACCAGTAACTAATTAGGAAGCATCCAAAATATATTCAAAAAAGAAAATAATTATATTATGTTAAATAATGGGCCATAATAAAATTATTTAATTCTTAATCATCAAAGTTTCTAATCATCCAAATAAATAACAAACATTACTCACTGACACTTTTATACAAATTATAAAAAATAAACCTGTGACCTCCTCAATTAATCCTTTGTTCCTTAACTAAAATATTGCTACTTATTTCCTAAAGGCTAAATCATCTATCCTTATTAGGAATTTTGATTAATTAGTGCTTCCTATTTTCGTAGCCTCAAATAAAGCATTTTATAATTATTTTTAATTAAAATGAAAACAAAAATAAACATAAAAATCTCTCACCTTTTTCAAAGGCCTCCTCATTCCCTTATTTATATCGGCGAACTCCTTCCCTTTTTCATTCATCTCGGTTGGGGAAGAATTCAATCTCGAGGAAGGATTGCGTTCTCTTAGGCTCTAAGTAGGTTATCCTACATTTTCTTTAATTTAATTAAAATTTATTTGATTGATATTATTTTTAATTATCCATGAATTTATAATGTTAATTACTTTGATATTTTCAACGTATAAACAAGAGGGGTATGATGGATGTTTTAGATTTAGTTAATTGTTTAAAATTTAAAAAAAGTAAGTAAACCCTGTTTGAAGATTTTGATAAACTTCCTGTTTTTCTGTCAATTTAGATTGTTTGCTAACATTAGTTTAATTGTTTGGACTTTGGAGCATGACGTAAAAGTTTGAATCTTTTTTTATGGATTTTCATGTCTTCATGTTCTGAATTTGATTATTGTGGATATTGCTTTAAAATCTTGTAAATCTTTTTTATAAATGATCATATTTAATATTGTTTAATCCTGTTTATAAATGTTCAGATTTAATATTGTTTAGTCCTGTTTAAAGATGCCCGTATTCAATATTGTTTATATTTTTGTGTTATAAATTAATTGAGAAATATTTCTGTTGTTTTTACCTGTAATAAAAGAAAATAATTTGAATCGGCTCGGGTCAAGCTAGGCAAGCCCAACATGAATCAAATGGGCTGGGCCAGGTTCCAATTGGGTTTGTCAAGTGGATTGAGCGGCTGGGGCCATTCGGTGTAGAGAGAGGATTTATAAAAGTGAAACTTTAGTACTTAAGTGTGGAAGTTATTTATGTGGACAGATGCTGATTCTATCATGAGTAACAATGTTGAAAGTGGTGGGTGGAAATTTCTCCTTGAAACTTGTTCTTTGGTTCTTAATTTACAAAATTTACTTAAGCAAAGAACTTCATTTAAATAATATATTTGCACTTTTCTAATATTTCTAAAGTTTCTTATATATGAGTTGTGTAGGTTATTCTTTGATTGTGACCTTGATATTTTCATCTTTTTTCTGTTATGAACATACATCTAGAGATTTTACATGTCCTAGATTTGCTTTAGAAAATGATTCTTAGACTGTGACCTCATATATTTATCCTTGTTCTGTTAAGCATATAGTTCCAAGGACTTGTTTTACAACACTGTATTTGTTAATTGATGGAACTACATTGAAAGATTGAGTTCAATCACATGTTCTTTTTATTGCAGATGTTGAGTTATGGATATGCTAAGCGATGATAGGATGTATTCCAAGGGAAAGTTTGGAAGAGGTAAATTTCTCAAAGGAAACTCTTTGAAAATTTGAGTGGTTCAGACATGCAATTTTAAAGTTCATCAAATATAGTGGCATGGAAATTTTTATTATCTGATTTTTTTAAACTTATTTTTACAAACATAAGGAAGAATACAAAAAAATCCCATAAATTAAGGCATTTCAAGCATTACAACTTTCCTTCTCTTATTTCAAAAGAAAACTTTCCTTCTCTTATGAATATATATTTTGATATTTGATTTAAGGAATAATCTTCCTTTTCTATCCAGTGTTTGATTGATGGTCTTCCAGAAAGTTTAAACTTCCTTGTAGAGAATATTTCCAATCAAGATTTGTGTTCTTAATCACAATCCAGTTGGTTTCTTCTATTTTTTCTCATTTGTTTTTTTTCACTTTGAATAATCTAGAAAACCAAATTAGAAATGTTGGAGACGTAGCCATAAGGCAACTTATGGAATTTGCAAAAACACCATAAACTAATAAAATTTTATTTAAATAAGCAATAACTAAAATGTTCTTGCATCAGTTTGCAGTCCCATAAAGCTATATCAGAGCTTTAAAAGTTCCTCCTTGTTGCAATGATTTTAAATATTTTTTGAAATCAAGATTAGCACAAGCGTATATTATGATTTTCTTGATACTCCTGAATTGAGGGGAATTCAAGCAGGTATATATTATTATTCAAATTTGTTAAACTTGGATTACAAACATGTTCAGTACAAAGTATTAGTGACTTAATGCTATTATCATCACTGCAGAAGAAAATTACCAGACATCATGGCCTGTTGTTATGAGACAATGAATATTTTTTTAAAATAAAAATTGCTTCAGAATTTGTTCCTGCAAATGATTTAAATGCTTTCGGGTCACATCCAATTATCAAACCCACGTCACTGGCCATCACCGTGTAGCACAATCTTACCTTGCTTTTTGTGATTCTGAGATACACCACGTAATTGGTTTGGTCTGTACATTTGGTTCTGTTTTGGATGATTGTAAGCTGTACAGTTGCATATGATGAGGAATTTGAGACATGGCTTAGCTCAACTTGTGTAGTTTATGCTACTTATTTATGGAAGCTTGTGCCTGTAATGACTGATTTTGAATACCATTGAACTGCGGACCATACCTCACTTACCGGTTGATGCCAATATTTTAAATCATAGACCAAAAGCACACCACTATTGATAACAGTATCTACAACCTTGATTAGACTCATGTGTAGGTAGTGATTGTCATTCCCTTAAGGATTGCAGAAAATTGACTTTGCAATCACTATAATACGATGTCATTAGTAATTGTTTGAATCTCTTGTTTATTTGACTTTTTGTGCATTTATCTTTGAAAAATTCAAATTCAACTATTTGTTTGAACATACAGGGCCTAGGGAGCTTACGGGTGCTGTTGATTTGATAAAGCACTACAAGTTGTCAGCACTCCATGATTTTTTTTGCAAAAGAACTCTTCCTTCGTCGATTTCAGACACACATTATCTCCACAATGTTGTAGGAGAGACAGAAATTCGAAAGGGGGAAGGCATGGAGCTGGGTCAGCTCTTTCAGAGTGCTCCATACCTGAGAGAGACAACATCTCAGATTCAACAATTTGACTTGGAGATACTAGGGCAAGCATTTCAGCTGCGAGACACAGCCCCTATTGACTTGCCTTCAGTAAGAATCCTGTCATCTCAATGGGAATTTATATTTTTATTGTTATTTCCTACAAGAACGGTCCTGTTATATTCTGCAGTCAGAAAAAGGAATACCCACCATTTCTGGGAAATCTATTGGAGATTCTAAAGGCAAGGAGAGGAAGCACAGAAAACACAAGGACAAAGATAGAGAGAAGGACAAGGAGCATAAGAAGCACAAACATCGCCATAAAGATCGCACTAAAGATAAAGATAAAGAGAAAAAGAAGGATAAAAGTGGACGCCATGATTCTGGTGGCGATCATTCAACGAAGCATCATGAGAAGGTCCTTTTTTGTCATTCATGTTTTTGCAAATTGTATATGTATATGCATTTATTTTCATTCAGTCTAGTTCTTCATGTTTTTGCTTACTGAAATAAATGTTTCAGAAGAGGAAACATGATGGTAATGAAGATTCTGTAGATAATCACAAGCACAAGAAGACTAAGGTAGTGGGAGTTCTGGTTTTCTCAGCTTCATTACTTCTTTATGATTATATTTGCTGGTTTCATCTTACCAAAGCAATCTTAACTTCTGAAATATTTCAGCATAAGAGTTTAAAGATTGAAGAAGTTGGAGGCTCAAAAGTTGCAAGCTGATGAAAGTTGATCTCTTCTTTCAGTGTCTTACTGTCAAACATGCTGGTGGAGAAGAATAGTTCGAAGGATTTCTTTTCATGCACCAGAATTCTTTGAGGTATACCTGCTTCTTATCACCTTGATAACATTACCAAAGTGTCCCTTTTGATCAACCAATTCGTATATTTACTCTGATATGATTTGTTACAACAAACTCATCTGGTTTCTGTGTCATGATTGGACTTTGTCTACTATCAGGATTCATACATGGCAAAAAAAAGGCGTATCACCTTCATTAGAATTATCATATCGATGACTTATCCTAAGGGTGCTGTGGCATGTTACTCTAACAATGGGTCATGATACAAGTGTTCTATGGCATCTATGGATATGTTTGTATCTCTTGCCATGTATATTATCATTCTCTCTTTATGGTCTAAGAAATTATCAGTCTCTCTCTATGTTCTAAGAAGTCGAAACAAAATTATTTAATTGGAAATCCACAATCATAATCAAATAGTGGATTGCCATTTGTGGTGTGTAAACATGGACTTTTTGGCATGGCAAGAAACCGTGCTTGAAAAGCACATGCCAAAAGTTAGCATCGGCATGTCTGTGCAATGTTAGCACCTTGGCATGGGTCAGCATAGCGCATGCCCTTCTGATGTATCAGTCAGCACAGAAACCGTTGCCACCACTCATGCTTTCAAGTTTATAAGGGTGAATACATTAAAATAAGTGTGCATTTCAGTTGGTGAGTGGAGGCACAAGTTTTTGTTTCAGTATCTTTTACTATAGGTCTATTTGTTAACCTAATGCGCTGCTTGACATGTTCTCTGCAGCTTGCAATTATTCACTTATTTACGCTGATGGTTCCACTCTCATATAACTTCAGTTGAGGCCAAGTCCCAGTTTACAACTGAAATATATTCTGAGCGGAGGATCAATGCTACATGAAGTGCAGTCAGGATCTAAATCTTGATTGAAAGGCTGAAGTAATTAGCTTTGACCATAGGAGAAAAAGAACTTGCACTACATGTGCTGTTTACCAGTCACAATGCATGAGAAAAAACAATGTTTGCTATGAACAGCAGCTCAAGGGAGCAAAGGAGACTCTGTATCTTGAATCCGTTGAAGATGATGACAGATGATATATCCACATATCTTTTCGCGTTGAGTGGATAGGCACTCCTTTTCTGTCTCTGGTTGCTAGTTCTTCAATTTCTTCCAGGGATTTTTTTTTTCTCTTTCTTTTCAGTGTACAGTTTTGTTATTCTCAATTCTTTTGTGATTTCAAGTAGCTCAATTTTGGAGATACTATGGATTTATGATTGCCAATCCATCCTCTCTGACTAGAGGTGAAATTTTTTTTATTTTGTCTGATTAGATTCATGATTGTAAAGCAAATTTATTACGGTACAAATTCGGATTTATGATTTTGTTGGATAAGGATGTGGTATTTCATTGACAATTCAGCCTTGTATCAGCATCCTCTCTGGCACAACTGTCTTTTGTTCATGTAGATGACCATATTATCACAAAGTAGGTGCAGAATTATAAGAAAGCATGATGATCAATATTCAGGGACTAGTGATTACGGTAATAATTATTGGGTTTTCTTTAACCATTTATTTCGTAACAGTGTGTTCATCAATGCGTGACTCCAGCATTTGTAGTTTGACTTTTGCTAATCTTCCTAGCTATACAGAACGAAGTTAATCTTCCCGTATCATACTCGTTCAGCTGTATCCATGTAGTAATATGGATATATAATTAATATCCAGCATATCCCCGTGTTTGCATTAGACAATGACTGCAGTGCATAATGTGGTCTAGAAACAATGTATCTAGGGAGCGATGCCCCTTTGCTCGCATCAGCTGAATAAATTAGCAGAAACTGTCGATATACCACCCATCTGATCTTTCCTAAATCTTCTCGCCTCCTAAGCCCAATTCTTTTATGCTTCTGGTGTGTTGTATCGACGGTCAACAGCACTAGATTTTTGGAGCAGCTTCTTTGCTGACGGGATGGTTGAAATTTTAGATGTTCTTTTAATGATATGATCTGCTTCAAGACACTGGTTGACGATAAACACATACCTCTATACACCCTGTTTCATGACTCCAGCATGGACTTTTTCGACGGTCTCAGATATTGGACATTCTAGTGGATTCCATGCTACTTTTGTCTGGTTCCTATATGCTAAACTTAAAAGACAGAGGAATAGACGAACCACAAAAATACTCCTAAATCCAAGGAAATATATTGCTCATCGGGTCGTACCTGATGCTTCAAATTATCGAAAGGGTCTGCCGCATGTGTGAAACGGCTGCACGCATGCATGCCGTGTGGAAACACATTCCTCTGAAGCCTGCCGACGCGTGTTGCTAGTGAATCGCGAGCGCCGTCTTCACCCGACGGCCTCTACCGCCCTCAATCTCTCGAGTCTCCACTCACTCTTCCCTGTCCTTCTCTCTTATCAGCGGATCGACACGAAAGATGGGTACGGTGGCGAAGGAGAGACTCGTCGGCGTGGCTGCCCGCCACGGTGCAGCTAAGCTGATGGGAACCGTCGGCAAAGCAGCGAACCGCGCCGCCGTGCACGGTTCCCGACCGCCCACCACCCAATCTGTGGACGTAAGCATGCACGTAATTGTGATTTCTTCTTTCTTTATCTATATATAATATCCATGACAGTACATGAAAACCATACAACAATTAAGATTTGTGAAGAATAGAGCGTCTCATCTCTTTTTTGCTCATCAGTTCATCAACGTGACAAATCTAAAAACCCGCATATATGTGATAAAAGTAAAACCTGTTATTATTTATGAAGAGTTTGATTTAGTAGGGCATATAATTCTAACACACATTTGACTGCGTTGCTCAACAGATACAAGAGGTGGAGGAGGGGACAAACAAAGGGAAGGAGGAGAGACAGAGGAAGCAGCAGGAAATCGAGAAGGAAGTTGACTCTGAGACCAAGAATCCCCGAGGTCAACGATCAAGTAAGTATATATATTGTCCTCGTGCTTGTGGTGCTTGAGATCTCAAAATGAGGTGGACAGTGGAGTGGTGATGTGTATTATATTAGGATGTAAGGAAAACAAGTGTTGCCTTTAATTTTTCTCATGCAAGGAGAAAACTAAGACTATATGATGACATGTAGAGATGGAAGGCAATAAAGACAAAAGTAGTAGTATATGATCCCACTTGCTGTCCCTCATAGGACTAGGCTGTACCACACTTTAATCTGCTTTCTTTGCCAAGTAATAATGCGTGCCATGTGGGTTGTGGAATATTAAGGTACATCATCGTGTGGCATCTTATAAAAGACAAAAATTTCTAATCCAATACTGTATATTATTGTACTATTTTGCGTCAAAAGGAAGATAAATGCAGTTATGATATGGGGATAGTTTCCTTCACTCAGGAAATATATGTAATGTTCAGAAGCTCTTGTGTTATCCTGATTGCCAAAGTGGTCTTCTTGTCTTTGGAATTAGCAATCCAACTCCATTGGACTCAATAATGCATCATTCTATAGATCATTGGTGTTGGTTCTAAGTAAGGTCGTGTTTGTAATCTGGATGACAGTTGCTCGGGCAGATAGTTCAGATGCCAATGTTTGGAATCTCCATGACAGTCCAAAAAACTACAAGAGCAAAAGGTAAAAAGCTATAGTAGGCGTGTCTGGGATGGGGGCAGTGCAGGCTTTAGTGTGGGAAGAGAAAGGGGCGATCACTGGGAACACAGCAAGAAAAGCTTCCTCGATCACGAGGGAGGAAAGAGAAGGGAAGTTGTGGTTTTGGAGAAGCCAGGGACCAGAAGTTTTGGACGGTTGCAGAGGAATGAGAAACAGATCGCTTTGCCTAAACTAGAGCAGCTCAAAGGAAGAGAAAGGTGGGATCTCAGAGAGGAAGGACAAGGCTGTAAGGCATTGAGAGAGAGAGAGAGAGAGAGATCCGATCTGGCTTCTTCTGCGGCTGCTGCTCATTTGTGTCTGATGACGAGTCTGTAACGTCAAATCATAGCAAGTAAAAAAAGCTTCTCTCTCTCTCTTTCAAATCATAGCTAGTTATCACCCTGAGGAGGCGGAGGAGGAAGCGGAGGCGCAGCACACCCCACAGCGCAACTACTGTTCCACTCTGCTGGTACTGCAGCTACATCTGAGCTGTATTGTCCCGGAGACAGAAGGAGGGATCCGAGAAACATCACAGCGTGCTCTCTCCCTCTCTCTCTCTCTCTCTCCCTCTCTTTCTCGCTCATTACCACGAAAACAAGTGCTGGGTGAGAAAAAGCTAACAAGGGCATGGATACGTCGCTTTCTCGCTCCGCACCCCCAACTCTGCCCCGCCCCTGCCGCGCCTCTTTACCTCGCTGGGAACTTTTGAGGGACTCATCATCCCATTGGGAATGATGACTGCTTCCTTCGTCTCACTTCGCTCCTCTCTCTCTCTCTCCCGCGCTGCACGTGATCCATGCAATCACCATTGGAGCCTTGCGACCTCGACATGTTACAAGGAAGCATGACCGGATCCCCTTTGTAGCCATCGAATACGAGTGTGGACACCATCATATCTATATCAGAGACAGATCGGATTGATTGCAGGAAGCAATTCAGATGCCATCTGATGCTTGGATGGACTACTTGTGTCATTCTCAATTCCTTTGCGTTTATCGAAGGAAAAAATTGCTTTAGAGAGGGAAGCTTCCAAATTCCACCATTATGGATCAATCTATATCTGAAAATGACATGTTGCATTACTGTCTCCCGCAGAAAAATATCATTTGCTCTCTTGAAATGGGCATTGGTCATTCAATATATCTTGGTTTGATTCTTTTTGTGAACTTATTTGAGTTACTATTCCTTGTTGCACATACTCTCATATTATATATAGTTCGCTAAGAATATTTGTGGGCAGCAGTGCTATCTGTCTGATATTGCAGGCGGGTGGGGTTTCCCATTTAGCCTATATCTTCCCATCTCTCAGCTTAAGCCTCTGCACCATCCCACCGTCACTTCTCAGCTCTCTCCCTCCCTTTCTTCTTTTTGTCATTCCATTCATTCATCCTGTTAGTGCCTCTTTGTCCCTTTACTCTCAGCCTCTTTCTCTCTTTCTCTCTCCACCTGTTCTTGAATTCAGAAACGATAGATCCTAGGTCATATTTGTAGGATCGGCAGTCAATCAAACATCAAATCGCATCATCAGATCAGGTATAAAAGGGAAGATATTCCCTTCTGGGAGAGCCCTCCTTAGGCCGTTCAATCATCATCAGCAACCTCAGCAGCGAGCATGTCATCCTCCTCAGCCGCCTTTTCTTTTGACCACTTCTCGTCATCCCCTTCCGAGCAGCTCTGCTACGCTTACTGCAACTTCTGCGACACCATTCTCGCGGTATGTACCGAAATCTTACTCTATAGTTTTTGCTGCTGCTTCATCTGTTATTCTCTTCATGGGTTTCGGCAGGTGAGCGTTCCCCGTAGTAGTCTTTTCATGACGGTGACGGTGAAGTGCGGCAAGTGCACCAACCTTCTCTCTGTCAATGCGAGGGGACTTCTCTTCCCCGAGGTCAACCAGTTCCGACTTGGCCATTCCTTTCTGACTCTCCCCCATCACAAGCTCTCGGTACAGAATCCACTTGGAGTTCTTATACCATATTAGCTACTTGCTGCTTTCTTTTCGATCTTGATGTTTCATGAGCGGTCTGATGGTGTAGGATGAGATACCATGCTCACCTACAAGCTTACTAATGGATCCAACCACAATGAACACCACCACCACCACCACCACCAATACTCTAGTGGCTTCAGTCAACAGAGGAACTGATGATAAACTTCGACGGACGCCGGTCCTTAACAAACGTAAGTCTCTCTCTCTCTCTCTCTCGCATGCTTACATCTTAGCAACGGAGGCTGTCTTGTAGTCTCACATCTTCTACTAGTAGAAGGTCATTCCACCAATTAACTGCATCTCATCCGAATCATCTCTTCCCTCCTCCCTTCTCCTCGACTGCATAACCTAATCCTGCTTGTTGATAACCTTTCATCATAACAAAATCTTGTTGCAGCTTTGGAGAAAAGGCAGAGAATTCCATCCGCATACAATCGATTTATCAAGTAAGGGAGACAACACCATTATGTCATGACAGTACAGTAACACTTGACAGTGCCTATAAAATCTCACTTTCTTCACTAGCTTTTTCTGAAATCTAAAGGAGGGGAATGAGGGGACTCTTATTTGCAGGGATGAAATCCAACGCATAAAAGCTGTGAATCCCGACATTACTCACAGAGAGGCCTTCAGTGCAGCTGCAAAAAACGTAACATACTTCCCCCTTCTCCCTCATCGTATTATCTTAACCCGTCTTTTTCTAGGGTTTTGCTAACTACTTCTACTCTCAATTTACATTTTCTGCTCTAAGTGGGCTCACTTTCCGCACATCCATTTCGGTCTGATGCCGGATCAGCTCATGAAGAAGGCCAGCTTTCGGCTGCAGGTAAGTGAAATGAAAGATGCTATAATATTTATCTCTCCACCTCAGAAAACCTAATCTTTCTCTTAGCTTATTTTGGTCATTCTTTGTTTTTAGGAGGGAGAGGATGTTCTTCTCAAAGACAGCTTCTGAGTTTTCCCTTTGGTTTTCTCCTCTTCCTCTCCTCTTGGGGTTCGTTCTTGGTCTTCTAATGGAGGATATAGGGGCAGTGGGGGATGTAAATGCCTGTGCAAAAGGTTGGGTGGTGGCAGATCTCATGGACAAAAAGTTTGAAGTGCTTAGATATGTCTGCAACACTCTTATCTGCTAACCCTACTGCAAACTTAGCCTTTTCAAGCATTTATGAATTGATCTTTGGTTGCAGTAGACAATGTGCTTCCTCAATTGTCTACGTTTATAGCTGAGCATAACATAAAGGATTCAGACACTCCATTATATGTTCTTCCTCATCCATTCGCTCATTGCTGCTCTCAGCCATTGTTTACTCTCTAAACAGCAACTTAGCTCACCAACAAGAAATCCACTAGTATTTGTGATTCATTCTCAATCAACAAGTTAAAATAAGGCATTCCGAGCCATCGTAAGATCCAAACCAAGAAAACTTGGAAAGGGTTTGGTGTTAAAACGAAGTAGAACGACTGTGTTGTGTTCATGCAAGCTGAAGGAAATGTATATAACAAGGAACAAACTGAGCAATCAAATACAAGCTTTGGCGATCCAAATGGAGATATCAGATAGCAGTGTAATGTGGCAATTCCATTTTTGAGGATTTATGAGCTTGACTGAGGTACCACATCTATCTTAGTGAATGAGACATCAAGTGTTGATTGTGCATGAATCCAGTGAAAGATAAGATTGACTTCATATATATATATATATATATATATATGGGTCTGATAGAAATGTGAAATGTATACATGACACTCTCCTTAGACATTATATACATAGATATATAACTTCTATCATCCTTCCCTCGTATAAATTTGATTACAGAAGGTTTGGAACATGGATTCAATAGCAAGATAAATGTGTGACTAAAGATTCATGAGCATAAAGATCCTATTGTGTGTGAGACAAAGTGAAGCTACGTCTCAGAACTTAGAATTCATATGACAAAATTATTAGTCAGGTGACAAACTCAACACAGAAGTTGGAGTTTCTTTCCATCGTACTTGAGAAGTATCTTAGAGAGGGGATTCAATGTTCACAGTATATGATACTTATTTGGCCAGTATGATTAATTGCATAGCCGATAAGCACCCGATACACTAAATCCTCCATTGGTGATGTTTAATGCAAATGGGCCTTCTTCTCCTTTCTCCTTAAACCCTGAGAAACAACATGTGGGTATGCTTTGAGGTGCCAACATTGGTTTACGCAGTTGATCTTTCGACTATTTAGGAATGAGTTGTCACTAACATTTCTTGTCTTCCTGACAAGGATTAAGATGCCAAACGCCATTTTAGTGGCCTTACAATACAAACCAATTAAGAAGAAGAAGAAGAAGAAGAAGAAGAAAGAGGTCAATGGTTTCAGCAAATCCATGTGCACGAGAATAAAAGTTGCGTTGACTAGTAAGATTGACTTCATACCCTTCCAACGTTCAAAATCCTACAATGTGAGGGTTGGCAAATCTGTGTGCTCCATGAGGATTAAAGCACAAAATTCTATCTCACATAGCTCATTTAGGAATGGCAATAGTAATGCAGATGAGAGATGAGGAGGTGGGAGCAAAGTTGGTGGGAGAAGATGGAGTGTCTCTTAAAGGATGAGATGTGGTTGCAGGATTGGATTTGACACTGTTCCGGCTGATGAATGACGTGAGGGAGGATCTTGAGGCTGTACCTTGCAATATCAAAATGAGTGTTGGAGACCAAAGAGATCTCGCTTTCTATTTCTTATAGGTGCCTACCTTCTATCTTCTTTCTCCACCTTTTGGGTTGGTGGATTGCACCATCTTTCTCCGATTCCTTTTCAAGTTGGGTGACAACAAAATCATGTACATGAAAGAAAAGATATATATATATATATATATATATATATATATATATATATATATATATATATAAATATCTATAAAGATAAAAAATATTATCTTTCATTAATGGTTAAATGTAGTTCCCATAAATAATACAACAAGATAGAGAATTATTTAAGAAGATACTAATATGTATTCAAGAAAAACTTTGCTAAAAATTATAATAAAAATTAAAAAGCTCCTAATCTGATTAAGGATATTGTTTTGCATAGAGCTTAATAACGAAAAAAGTATCCATGCAGTAGATCTAAACAATTGAGATATTACGACTTATCATTATTGTCATATTGTGACAAATCTATAATCGTCATGCCACAACCGATGAGTGATAGTAATCTAATTAGTGAACACCTTTTTGGTTTAAGATGATAGTTGATGTAGAAATAATAGCGATAGGGACAATGATAGTTGTAGGTGTTGATGATGACATTTACTAAATAGTGATAATAATAATAATGATAATTATTGATTATGATGGTGATACTAATTAATAGTAGTGATAGTGTGACAATATTGCTCAATTATAATTGTGTAAATGATTTTGATGGATTATATTATTAGTGGTAATAAAAATTAATATTAAAAGTATTAATATTTTATGTTATAATATTTTTTTATTTACCCTTTGTAAAAAAAATATTATTGATGTCCACAACAACTGCAAAAGTCCTTCCATTAGAAATTAGAAAAATGTTTTGGTTTACATTGGGATTTCTTCAGGTAAAATTCTTAAAGAAATTATTATCAAACATAAAAAAAAAATCACCTTTTTATTTTAGTTTGCTTCATAAGTATATAAATCATTTTAAAAGGTTGAGACAATGATATGAATTTAGGTAAGATGGTTTGGATGATGTTCTAATCAAAAAGAAAAAAAATCAACTCATTAGCTCAAAGCACATCCAAATAAGTTTCTTTCATTGTGATGAAGGAAAGAACCTACAGAAAGGTGAAATATATAGTAAGTCTGCACCACTGTGCACCCCTGCAGGAAAGGAAAGCAACCCTTTCACCGGTGGCCAGCCATCACTGTAAAGATGAAACAGTCATCCATCATCTGCTATCTACTCAAAGGAGCAACATGAGGAGATATATGGACAGAGATGATGTATATAGTATATCCATGGAATGATATATAGCTGCCCCTTGAGCCTTCAGCCTCTCTCTCTCTTCTCTCTCTCTCTCTGCTTGGTTCTCTTTGTCATGCTATAGAGAAGATAGAGAGAGAGAGAGAGAGAGAGTTGCTTCTTCAAGTGGAGGTGATGGCGGTTTGCGAGGAAAAGAAGCAGGACACGCGCATTCAACGCATAGCTTCGTCCATTCGCGTGGTTCCCGACTTCCCCAAGAAAGGTCGCACCTTTCCCTGCAAATGAAAATTGCGTTTCAATGCTTTTTCTATTGCTTTCTCGCTGCCTTTCCATGCAAGTTTGCATTTTTATGCCGCTGTCAGCTCATACAGAGCCCTGTTCTTTCTCTTGCTTTCTTGGTTCCGATCTTTTTCTTGTCACCGCATGGCTTTTGTTCCTTCTTTTCCAATTAAAAATCTGATTTTTATGTCTCTGCTTTCTGGAGAGCATTATCCCGCACCTTCTCTAATTCGTCTGATATCTTTGACTGCGTACTTGTGCTCTCTTTCTCGTCGTTTGTAATCTTTATTTTGTCAAAAGGTTGGATTTTGATGCCAAGTTTTCTTGTTTTCTCGTACAAATTTGATTCTTTTTGCGGTTTCCATGCTTGCCTGAATCAGCCACGCCGACGTCTTTTCTCTAGTTCTCCAGCTAATGGATATAGGATTACAGGGATCATGTTCCAAGACATCACGACGCTGCTGCTCGAGCCGAAAGCGTTCAAGGACACAGTGGATTTGTTCGTGGAGCAGTACACGGGGAGAGGCATCTCTGTCGTCGCCGGTAAATCCCCTGAACTTCCCTATCTTCAGTGGCTCCGCGATGTCAAGTCCTCTTCTCCACTGTGTTCTCCCTCCGTTTCATTGGCGCGCTGGTCATTGTTTGTTTCCTTTCCTCCCATTAATGCTACTTGCCCATCAATGTCGTGAGAGATGTCGGTTGTGGGTCCTTCTTCCTTTAGACTTTTCCTATATTGGAGGATAAAAGTGGATTGACAGGCGGAGGCTCGCCTTCCCTGTCATCATTTCCATTACAGAATGCTTCTGAATCGTTTCTGGACTCTCGAGAGCCTTTTCGGCAGTGGCAGGGGCGCCTGGTTTGACTGCCTTGCCCCATGTTATCGTGGCCCAGCTGTGAGAGCTGCGGGCACCCTCTGCCTTGCTCATGGATTCGGTTCTCCGAATCTGTTCTAGCCTGTGGAGGTGGCGTTGGGCCCTATCGACACTGACATCGCTTCCTGGTCAACACCGTGATGTTCGATGGTGAAAGCTTTGGCACTGTTCTATGGGCCTCGATATTCTATTTCTCTGTTGTCCGTGCCTTTCCGAGGCTGTTCAGATTTCGGTAGATGCGATCGCGATGGGAGAGTTGAACGACATTAAGGGACTAGTGCTTCATTTAGTTGCTGTGCTTCAAATTGCAGCCTTTGGAGGTGGGAATAGTGAGATTTCCTCCCCTCAAATGGTCAAGCATTGATGATCTGTACCATAGTAATGGTCCTTTACTTTGAGCTTTGATCCTTCCAGACTTTGCTCGAAATGAACAGAAACAAGTTGGGATCTTTAGACACTGTTTAGGAAAGGTTGAAGAAAAAGAAAGAAAAGAAGGAGAACTGCTATTATGACCATGTTAATCTCACAATTTTCTTGAACACAGACACTTGATCATAGAAAGGAGGCTCACATTTTATTAGGAGAACGGCAGTAGCCATTCCATGCTTCTTCCCAACAGCAGGGAGTCATCTTATGAGTTGAACCAAAATTGTCATCATTAAATTTTGCAGAAGAGAAATAAAGAAAGAAATGATACCATCACCATTGATTTGTTCAGATTTCATGGTTTTCTTTGGCACCTTATGGCTCCAACCTTCATTAATATTTGTCTGAAATTTTGTCACACCTTATGTTGTTTGTGGCACCCTATGGCTCCAATTTTTAGTACTTGTCACTCCAATCAATTTCAGAATGACTGTCACCTTTACTTAAATTTGTTCAGTATTATGTTATGTTTTCCATAATTAACAGTTAATTCATTGCTCTGAAGTAGTTGTTATGTCATAATGGTTATTCAATTCTTATCTAAGCATTTCCTTTGCTCGCGTTTCTAAATTTGCGGCTGCTTAGAGTTTCTGCGAATGGAATTTTGCAAATTTTTTTATTGGGCTTAAATTTTCTAATACTTTTTCGGACGAGTTCTGCGTACGTATATCGATTGATTTCTTCTTTTCGAGAAATGATTTAGATCACATACCTTAATGTTTTATGCTTTGTGGTACAATGATTATAACATGGAAAATTCCATTGTTTTTTAATGCTCTCATTTTTTAGCAAAATTAAGGTGATTTTTTTTTCCTATTATGATAGGAGTTGAGGCTAGAGGCTTCATATTTGGTCCTCCAATTGCATTGGCAATCGGTGCAAAGTTTGTCCCACTAAGAAAGCCAAGAAAGTTGCCAGGTACATCCAAACTTAGTACCTAACAACCTGCTCTTAGCATTTGCTGCTTCCAGTTGGAATAATATATATGAACTCAGGAGCTCTGCAAAGCAATTACATGCATGGCCATTAGTTTTCATGTTTTCCTCTATGCATCAGTAATCTATGTTCTTCTAGTTGACTTCAAGTGGTGATCGCAGTATAGATTGGAGAATGAATTCTAGAATTTATATACTTGTGTGTTGTAATTACTGGGGTTACGCCTAAATTTTTATATATAATTTACGAAATTAACTTCTTTTATTGAATTCTTGGATCCTTGTGCAATGCATAGGTGAAGTGATTTCAGAGAACTACATACTGGAATATGGATCTGATTGTCTTGAAATGCATGTTGGGGCAGTCCAACCCGGTGAACGAGCTCTAGTAGTCGATGATTTGATCGCGACCGGTGGAACTCTTTGTGCTGCCATAAGTTTACTCGGTATGTTCTTATGGCTTAGATATGTAGCCCAAAACTCTGAACTAACTAAACAAACCTTGTGAACAAATTCTAAGAAACTAACTGAGCTTGTCGTCGACAGGTAAATTTTCTCGATGAAGATTACATTTTTAGTATGTTTTACTTATTCTTTTAATGCAGCCAACATAAGTCAAAGTTCTTGCTCATTGTTGATACCTGCACTTTTACTGCCAAAGTATGCTTTAGAGTGAAGCTCAGCTGGTTAATAAGTGGGCAAACTGAAGGTTAAGGAAAATAATGGCTGATTATTGATGTCAAGACATTATCAATGTCAAGAATTGAGGACTTGTTTGAGTATTGGGAAAACAATGGCTACTCTCTTGGTTTTGGCAGAAGATAAACAACATGCATTTCATACACTAAATATACTTTAGCACTCACTTGCATGCCACATTAGCTTTATCTAGACATGGAAAAACTGATTTTTTTGTCTAAACAGAACTTTTCTTGCCGAGGCCAGCTTATCCAATACTACTACTGAGATCCTGTTTTGTATAGCTTCATTGTAAGTTATTGAATCTTGTGCTTAATCAAACACAAATTTCAACCCTGTGAACTTGCTCTGACCTGTCTGAAAGATCCATTTGTCATGGTAGGTGGATGCTACTCAGATTTATCTGGTAGAACAAACCCAGACAGTCTCATATTTTACACAATGCTGAAGTAGATGATATTAACTCTCTTTGTCTTGCATCAACCATCAATTTTTTGCTTCTTGTTGCCTGCTGTCTTTCACTCAAATTTCCTATCTGCTCATGGATTAATCTCCCCATGTTCTTCTTCCTCACAGAGCGGGCTGGGGCTGAGGTGCTTGAATGCGCATGTGTAATTGAACTTCCAGAACTCAAGGTGTGTTCTACATGCTATTCCTGTTACTATATTCTTTCACGCGTGTATATACTTTCACTTCATCTGTTTCTTTATCGAAGTATTTCAAGTTTTACTGCCGCGATTTCAGTGTGCTGTTCTCTTGTTGTAGTTACATTAGTGTTACAAGCATTCTCCAACAATACATCACATAAATGAACTATTTTGTGTGAACATTTATCGAAAAGCTCCAAATTGTTCGATCGATCTGCATTTAAAGCAAATGAGAAAATCATATTACCTGAAGCTTTTGTACTTTTCCGTTAAGCTCAACATAAGCAACTTCATTGGCATAGAACTTCACATCCAAATCAATGGTTCCTAGAGGAACTTCTAGGGATATATCATTGAACTTCACATCAGTGCTAGGGGTATATCATTGAACTTCACATCCAAATCAACTTCTATCGTTCTTAGATGGATAGGAAAACGGTGTCAATTGTCGTAAGTTTTTATCAGAATACTTTACGAGACACTGATCATCTTCAACGTTTTCGACCAAGCTGTTCGAACCTCACATGAGTGGACACTGAATTCTAACTAGGATCATTCGTATTGAGTATTTACGTATCGGTAAAACCTTAGTTTGACGAAGACCGATTTCAGTTGCTACAATCAGCACAGATCATCCATGCCCAAAAATGAACTGTACCGCCATCGTAATTTTCCTATGGGCTCCTCCATTTTGCTTTAGTGTAATATCTGTCAATGTTTCATCATGTTTCTTAGAAACAAACCTACACAATTGCTTCTAAGTGGCAACTCAACCAGCAAACATAACAGTGGCATCTAACTTAATCTGCAGGGCCGAGGGAGGTTAAACGGCAAACCGTTATACGTACTGGTGGAGTCCCATTGATGATGGTATTATTCTCTCATCTTGCTGAAGCGAGTTCATGATACTGTATATTGGAGGATTTCATTCCGACTCTCATAGATGAGGCTGCCTATCTTCTTTCCTGTGGCAATAAGATTTGATTGGTTTACTGGGATGTGTTACTGTCTTTTTCCTCACTAAGACACCAGAATTCTGGAGTAATGCAATTGAGATATTTGAGATCAAAGAGGTTTCCAATGCAAAGGAATTGTTTTTGGTTGTATCAGCACCAGCTGATACTTGTACTAGTTCTGCAAACTGTTGTTGAGTTGAAGATTGAGAAATAAGAACCGGTTTTTTGACTGATGCAATTGATTTTGATAGACTGTGATGCCAAATTGAAGATCTCCAGGAATGCAATTCGAGAAAGATAATCCATGATCATCCACATGATCTGCAAGAATTCAACATACAGAAGTTTTGGAGTTACTGCAGCACTTTGTAATCACAAATCCCTCCTGGGATCACACTTCATCAGTCTTCTCCCACAAGCACAAGAATCATTCACTAGTTTTCTTATATCAGTATTATGCTTAGAGTTTCCTATTTACATAGGTGATGGTGTCCAAAGAAAATTGAGGATTAATGTGCAAGGCAAAATTCATGCTTATCTGTTTAATTATTAGTTGAACATATAAATCCCTTCGATCGTAACTCTTAGCCGACATTATAATGGACATTAATATTATTTAAAAAGATTCTACGTTAAAGCTTAATCTCCTTCCGAATTCAAAAGAAGCTTACATCCCCAAGTCAACAATGACCTAACTTACTTATATCATCAAAATGATTGTGTCCTTACGAAGGTCACGCCCTCAAGCCGATCATATCTCCAAGTTGACATTTTCCTCAAGATAGTCATGCCCTCAAATGAACTTATCTTGAAGTTGATCACACCTATGTATCGTACTCAATTCACTTTAATCTTTAAGTTGTCAATGGCTAAATCATCTTTTAGTAAACTATATCTTAGAAATAACCACATCCTTGAAGATGATGATATCCTTGATTTCATTATAATTTTATAATGATTGCATTATTCAAAAGTCATATCTTTAAAACAATCACATCTTTCAACATAGTTGTATTTCTCAAGTTTGTTATATCTTCAAAATGATTGTATTCTTAAAAATAATTATATCCTCATGTCGATCGTATCGTTAAAATAATCATATCTTTCAAGACAGTTATATTCACAAGTCGATTATATTTTCAAAATGATTGCATTCCTTAAGATAGTTATATCCTTTAAGTCAGTTATATCCACTATATGATTTAAGAAGGTTGTATCCTTGAGTTGATCATACTCTTAAAATAATAATTACTTAGGATCAGCTATACCCTCAAAATGATTATATTCTTCAAGATGACTAAAGCTATTCAAATCTTTAAGAAAGTCTCATCCTTACGTCGGTCTTACCGTCAATTAATTTTCAAATCTACTACATCTTGAGGTAGTTTATCTTGTAGGATAAAAGAATCTGACATAACCATATCGCGTAGAAACATTCAACCAAAAGATCTTCAAATATCTTCTCATGCTTTATTTGGAAATCTGTAGAAAGATCCTCTTAAAGATCTTCCCTACGTACCTCTCTTAATTTAAAAAGCAAATAAAACGATCTTTCGAAGATTTTTTCGTTATAGTAGATCTTCTTATGTAAAAGATCCAATCATTGATAGACATAAACATGTGAAAGAAAAGAAATCTCACTCAATCGAGCAGAAATGCTTACCTTAACAAGCAAAGAAGAAAAAATGGATTTATAAAATTGCTAATTGAACACACCTCTCAGGCAGAGAACTCCTTACTATTGAATTACACATCCATTTGAGTTCAAATTAATAAATAGTACTTGCGCCTAAAACGCTTGTTGTAGCCAAGATGTCATCTTCGATCGAGTGCGTCATATCTCAATGCTCGATATGATCAAAGTGTCTCCTTATGTTTGATACATTCACATACGGTAAAATATAAAGTGTCTCTTCATATACGATTTATAACCTCAGAATATAATCAGTGATAATTAAAAGGGAACTTCTCTATGTATTAATTTTGAACTCATCAAATTTAATTTGAATACTCAAATTTCTTATGAATCTTTTTCACTTAAAAAATTAAAATTAACTTAATAGTCAACCCCCTAAATACATAAAGAACGTCAAAACTTACCCCTTAATAAAGAATCAAATAATAGTTAATACATAAAGGGCAATTAGGCACAAGTTTATCTCTCGGACCATAGTTAATTATGATGCAGTTAGTAATCATATTGGTTGGCATTCAACAAACATAATATTGAATATTATCTCCTAAAACACGAGTAAATGTAATTGATATTGTTACAAACATCAAACATAATTATGATGCAGTGAACAAAAGTAAAGTTCAAGAGGACTTTCTCCTCCCCATTTCAAACAGACTAAATACTTAAACATAATTATGTTTAAGACATAATAATCCTAATTTTGTATGGTTGATTGGACCATCCAAACAACTTATCTATCACAGAGAAAACACTGCTAGCATTTTTACATGGATCTTTATGTATCACTAGTTATTAGAAGAGACTCATTAATGTCTTTTTACCTCATCTTTATTCTGGTCCTCCACAAGTACAATCTTGGCAGTGCAGTGACAATTGAAGGTATGCAGATGACTGCTTTCTCGATTTGGACCACAATCTTGCAGAAATGGAGCACTGAACTCAACTCTTGAATTAATAGAACAAAAGGTTGCTGTCACTTGTAATCTCACAAGCAAAGAATACGTTGGCTTTTAGGTCAGTGGTCTTTATCTGATATATATCAAGCAATAAAAGTATGATGGAAACCCTCAACTTCCATCTTTACGAATTAATGGTCCAAATAAAATGAAGATCTCCAATACATCATCGTTAATTCTACATATATGTGATAATGTCCAATTCTAAATATATCACTGATTTTGGAGGAAGGAAAATAAATGAATTATAAAGAAAACAAATCATTCCCACATGAGTTCAAATGTTTTTTAATGAAACTAAACAAACCAAAGTAAAAAAATAAAAAAAAAATTAATTTCTTGCAACGGAGAATTTTACATGCAATCAAATAGAACTATTTTAAGAACATAAAAAATATTATAGATGTTAATTGAAATTGTAATATTAGATTAGGCAAAGGCAAGTTTAAAGCTTATAGATAATTAGAAAGCACGGCAGCACAGCGCGGGGATCGAACACCAGAAGCTCACCTTCGCCCAAACTCACCGAGTCGGCCGCGGACTCGGGGTCCGACTCGGCCCGGACACGGCCCGCGATGACCCGGCACACCAGCATCGCCCGTCGCCCGGCCCCGCCGCCGCCCCCGCTCTCGTGGGCCCCGCCGCTCCCCGCGAATGTACGTATCCCCTCCGCCGGCGACCACGCCACTCCGCCGTCGAACACCTCGCCGGCCGAGGCGGGAGGGCGGCACTGGAACCGCATCATCTCGTTCCCGTCGGCTGCGCACCGCGCGTCGTCGGACCGGGCGGCGCGGGAACGGACGGCTGCGCGGTATTCCTCGAACCGGGCGACGCTCCGGGCCGGGTTGCGGACCCGGAAGAGCATCTCGATCGTTCCGGAGAAGGCGTCGGCCCCGGCGGCGCGCCCTTCGCCGGAACACCATCGCGACCCGAAGATGATCTCCACCACCCGGCGCGAGGGGTGGCCAGGCGGCAGCTCCACCAAAGACGGGAACGGGCCAGAGGGCGCCACCGCCGTGGCCGGGGAGGGAGGCGGGGCGGAGACTTGCGGGCGGGATCTCGGCTCGGGTTTCGGCGTTCGGGAGGAAGCGGCGGAGGGGCGTTTCGGGAGGACGTCGTTAGGAGCGTGAGAAGAGGAGTCGGCGCAGGAGAGCAATAAGGAGGGAAGGAGCAGCCACTTCTTGGCAGACGAAGACGACGGCGCGAGGGGGGGGCAGACGACGTCGTCGACGTCGTTAGATCTGCAGCGAAACGACTTCATCCAGCCGGAGGTCATTTGACGGCGATGGCAACGGCAACGTAAAAACGGAGGTGGGCAGCGGCAAGCAAATGAGATGGACGAAGAGAGGTGAAGGGTTGTATGCGGTGGTGGGACTCTAACGGTGGTGGTAAATTTACATTATTGACATTCTCTTACATTTCCCCTACAAATAAGACAGATCGAAATATATATTTTACTGTATTCATTCCATCAGTATAAATCAGATTTAATTACCTTCTAATCAGGTTTGAAATATATTCAAATTCAAAAGGTCGAGTTCGAATGCCAATATTGGATTTGGATTCCCATAAGATAAAATTCGTCCTCGAAGTAAATAGTTATGTTCTTTCCTTAATTTCTCGACCATGTTGTTCTTATGGGGGGAAGAGATTAAAACGTGACTTCTATTTCAATGATATAATTACTATAAACATGGCTAGTATTTGTTATATTATCATTTTGTATTAAGTTAGGGCCTTTTTAATATATCTTTTTAAAAATGTCCTTCTATTTATATTATATATATAAATATATGAATTGAATTAGTAGTATATTCATAAAAGCACATAATTGAAGTCCCGAACTGGATGCAATCTTCAAGCAAAGTTAGATGCTTCTTCTCATTTATTTAAGTTACATAAAATCCGAGACAGATTTAAACTAAAAATATGTATCTTCTAATCACTCGATGACACATCACGTCATTACTCCTTATGTCTAAGTAATACTCGACGATTCTACCAAACCAATCCTACGGATTACTAAAACTCTTTATGATTACCAAATTTTCTTTGTGATTACCAATTCACATCCTGCATCATTTTTCTTTGTGATTACCAATTTGATCATTGAATGGGCCTTTATTCAAATATACTCGTCTTACAATGTTGAATTTGTAATAGACTGCAACTCAAACCAAAGTTGGCTTACGATGGTATGTTTTGGTAAATGAGTTGATGAGCAAGGCAGAGAAGGTGATCATACAAATTAAAGTAGAGAGGAAAATAATGAATTGTAAAGAAAACAATGTACAAGATGGCATAAAATATTTCTCTCTCCTTTGTTTTTTTTTTGCTTTTTGCGACCCAAATAATTCATCTATTTTGGACTAACATTATTTAACCCCCATTATTCAAACCAAGCCTAAGACTCGCTCCAATCTCTCATTTAACTTGGATGAAGTTTTGCTTACCTGAGATCGATCCCCAAACGCCCTCTCATATGATGTGGCGCTTTCTCACAAGCTTGATCTGTGGGGGCCACCGGTGATGATGATGCACACCCCAGTTCGTGGGACAGGCAATTTAGGATTCGTGAGACGTGATTTGGGTGGTGTCATCGGGACAGGCATCAGGACTCAACCACCTCACAGACGGGCACGCAACACTACCCGACGCTGATTCCAGCTTGGAACGTTGGGTTTCATTTACATCGACTGCTTCCGTTTCTACATGTTACCCATCGAGCTACCTGCCTTGTCGTCGTTGGGTAACAAGGTGGACCAGCGAATGATACCCGCGTCATGATGAGTCGGTCGATGAGTTGGCAAGCCCAAAATGTTTCTGGAAAAATAAAATCTCCCATCTCCTCCCGACGCGAAGATTTTTTGGGTTGTGGTCATTCCAACAATTTCTATACTTCACCTCGTGAGGATCCTCTCCAATCCCTCCACCCGAATCCAAAGCATTCGTTGAATCATTATAACTTGGAAACGTGGGACCCGCCAAGGGTGAGCGGTTTTGATATGTACTAGGAACAATTGCAAATATAGGCGAAACTGGAGAAGATCCCATCACCTTCCTCACTCCGCCTGGGATCACCAGCCGTTCGATTCGATCTCCCTCAGCCGTCGAAACAAAATAAACCAACAAGAAAACCAAGCCATTATTTGTTGCAGAAAGGAGTCGTACCGCTCTGTCGCATTTCTTCTGCATTTCATCCGTCTGTTCCATTCCTCTCTTCTTCGAGATCGAGGTGGGAAGAAGAGCAACAGGCAGTCTCTTGTCCGCAGCGATCCAAATCTGTCATCATGATCAGTGGAGGGCTTCTCAAGATCCACCCCTCCGAGCTCAAATTGCCTTGTAAATGTTCTCGTCTTTCCGTATATGATCTAAATCGGTTTGTTTCAATTTTCTCTTCGCTCCCGTTGATCATAAATTGGACTTTTGTCTACGTTGAAGGGTTTCGGTCTTGATCGGTTTTTAGGTTGTAGTTTTCGTGTATTATTCTATTGATCTTGATGAGCACCGGACTGGTGGTTTTTTTGGCTTTTGGTCGTGCAAACGTTGCCTGGCTGGCATCGAATTCTTGATCCTGATGATGTCTGATTGTGTACGACTGCCGACACGATTATCTCGCGAAGTCGAAGTGAAAAGGCAGAGCTCTTGTTGCATGCAGCTGACCAACAAAACAGATAACTATGTAGCTTTCAAGGTTATCTCAGCTCTTTCTTTCCTTGATTTCTACCTTATCTTTGTTGTTCAGATATATGCGTTTGTGTTTATGTTGCTAGGGTTATAGGACTAATTGTTTATGTGTGGGTGATTTCTATATAATTATAATTATTATTAGGTTAAAACAACAAGCCCCAAGAAATATAGCGTGCGCCCAAACATGGGAATTGTTCAGCCCAGGTCCGCAATTACCATAACAGGTGAAATCGTGTGTTAAATTCTTGAATCTAACTGTTAAGTCTCACTCCTTATCAACCATTGAAGCTTAGTTTTGCAATTATTTTCTGCATTCTCAGTGACAATGCAAGCTCAGAAGGAAGCTCCACCTGATTATCAAAGCAAAGACAAGTTTCTTATCCAGAGTGTTATTGCAAATGATGGAGCAACAACCAAGGACATTACTGCTGAAATGGTAGCATATTATGATAATTCTTGATTTCCTTCTTAATCTTGTTTTCTGAACCCTAAGGATGTCATGGGTATTGATGATCATATTAAATTTTTAGTTCAACAAAGCACCCGACAAAGTTGTTGAGGAGTTTAAGCTACGGGTTGTTTATATACCTGCTAATCCTCCCTCACCAGTTCCTGAGGAATCAGAGGAAGGAATTTCCCCACGGCCATCCATGCTAGAGAATAAAACTCAGAGTTCAACCTTGTTTGATGCTGTAAGCCCATCCTCATCTCTAACTAGTCATTTTTGGAGATTGCAATTAGTCTTCTTGGTTAGTTGTTTTCTGAGCTTGAGTGTTACTAACACAAAAGTGGAAATCATTTCAGGTATCAAGATCCTTAGAAGAAGCTCCTAGAGATGAATCTGAGGAGGTGATTTTATATATGTTGTATTCTGTCTGTGCTTAATACAAGTTCCTTGGGTATAAGTAGAAAACTCACATCTTTCACATGATAGAGAAAATAGAAATATTGACTCTATTGTTTTAAGTAGGAAATAAAAGTAGAAAACTCACTGCTTTGTTCAACGATTGCTATGCTCAAGTTCAAAAAACCATCACAAACCCTTTAAAGTTAACTTGGGTGGGGACCTTGGCCAAAACAAATATACACACTCCTTGAAAATTGCACATTTGTAGTCCATTTTTATAAATACATAATAAACTAAAGTTTTTTTAGTAATTCTGGGTCTCTAACTATTTGGTAATCAAATGTATGACTTGTTAGCATAATTGGACATTAAATTATAAATTTTATATCTTATTGTATTACGAATCCAGAATAATTGATTTCTAACCCAATAAACAGGCCAAGTCTTTTAGCTTCTTTGTTTCTGAGCAAACTGTAGTTGCTTGTGTTTCTCATTCATTCTAATGGAAAATTGCATACTATAAGATGATCATAATTCATGATTCTACATATTAAACATGTATTGTCTAATGCCTTTGATATATATTTGTGATGTAGCTATAGTGTACTAGCGGAATTGTTGTATTGGCGCATTAATTTTTTGTTGTTTTTGTCCCTTTTCATGTAAATTTTCATAACTTAGGATTAGAATTTGGATTTAGGGAATATAAAGGAAATTAAAGAGGAGCTTTAGAGGACAATAGCTAGCACTGTTGAATTGGGAGGAACTGTAGGGAGGATCTACCTAGGAGAGAGGTTAAGGGTACAAGAGGAAACTAGTAGTTCGAATGAGAGTAACTAGGATGTGGTCATGACGGTCAAAGGCTTCAAGAAAGGCAGATGAAGTAGTAGACAATGAGGTAGAGAATTTTTCATAGAGTGAAATGAGTTGGATGAGGATTCCTGGTAGAGAATGGATGGTTTTAATCATTGATTTTCAATTATTATATCTCAGAACATTCAGTGGCTTTTCCTACATTCATTGGTTCTGCTTTCTGCAGAACAACGATCAGTCAAGCCCTTTTTTAATATCACAACTTTCATTTATATTGCTCTAACAACCTCTGTGGTCCCTGAGTCTCTATGAAAGAAATAAGTAACCTATAGTGGCCTATGCCAAAAGTTTTCAGAAATTGAGATGAACACTATATTAATCGGATACAATAACAACACCCTTCACACTCAATTGGAGTTTGATATAAATTAATGCTTCATATTGAGTTTGCGATTGTATATTGTAATCAAGTTTTGTTTACTGCCTATTTGGTGCAATCAACTTACACCCTTACTGAGTGTTCATGCTTAAGTTGAATCTTTCATTTCCATACCCTATCATGGTTTAGTAAAGATTTACAAAAGGACCTTTTTATTATATCATCAATATGCTGCCATTTTAGCCTAGTTCAAAGGGTGTTAACAGAATCCATGTATCTACTATCATTTAGCTTACTCTAAGGAGTTCCCCATTAAATTGTAGGTATTTTCTATTTAAAAGGGTTATCATATTTAAATCTAGACCAGATGCATCATATTTGGCATGAATTATTTATTATTATATCAAGTGAGAGGTCAACAACAATAATAACAACAATAAAGCTATAAACTCTAACTACTTGAGGCCAGCTACATGGATCTTTTATCATCATTGAGATATGTAAAAAATCATATTTGGTTAAGTTAAGAATATCTAAATCTTTATGTATAGTTTCTAGTGAAGTGTTTTTAGCCTCTCCTTGTATTAGTCCTTGTATGACTAATAGTGAACTCATACATCTTCTAACTATAGTATTTGAAGATCACTTTAGCAGATGGTTCATACCATCTTAAACGATTATCCCTCTTTTTATCCTCTCTTGAATTACACATAATTCTTCACAAATGAAATTATTTATTTTCATAACTTCCCTAGTAACTTTATACATCCACTCAACTAACTAATCTCAAAAATATAAACCTTTTTTTATATTTTGTCTCTCAATTGCACAACAATCAAATTCATAAATCATTCCTGGTCTAACAATTGTCTTATAATTTTTTTAATCTTAAAGGTATTAATTGATCTCCTCACTGTTTTAACCATCCAATTTTTATTTGATATCTATAAGTAACATATATAGTTTCCTAAACTGATTTTTTTTGCAAATTATTATGAGATAAGTAATAAGTCCTTATTCCATCACTTAATATCCTACCTAAAGGCACCTAAACAAAACAATCAAGATAGACTCTGTTTGGCATCGTTGAACATGGATATGCTAAAATTCTCTCATCATAGTTCATTTCATACAAAAGTACTTCAAATGCATATGAGAGCCTAATAAGATTATTCACATACATAGTAAGTCAAATATCTAAAATATGTAAATTTAGCCAATATTCAACATCTCATAAGCCTTGTTGCAGATAATATAGATGTCTTTCACGCCATATGATAACATTATCAAACATAGATTATGACAAGTCTGCTAATTTGTTGAACATGTCTACAGAAACATCCAACATGCATCTGTCTCAAACTTCACTGAAATAACTCTATATAAAAATGGATAAATCTAAAAATGTTCCACTTTACCTCAGTAACAACTAAATCACAAATTTTGGAAAGAGTATAGAGTTCGGTAATATTTAATGAACATAGGAATGATCCATTGATCCCCCATTTTTTTGTTAAAGAAAAGAGAACTATCTTGTTATGAAAATAATTTTGAATTTGGTCTTCTCTTTTTCTTTTCTTGATAAGGAGTTTCTTTCTTTTTTTCGTAATTTTCTTTCTTATTATCAGCTTATGCTTGTCTCACAATCAATGATAGAACATTTATTTAAGAATATATTCTGATGGCTGCCCATTTAAATGTTGGGAAAAATCATGTGACATGATGCTAGACTAATATTCTTCTGTGCAAAAGTTAGACTATTCTGTTTATCTTGTCTTTTAGTGGCTCAACCAGATTTTCTGGTTCCCTAGGAGGAGACTATGATTTCAAAGTTGACTGAGGAGAAGAAGTATGCAATGCAACAAAATAAGAAGTTGCAAAAAGAGCTGGTATACTTTTCTTGTTTATTCTATTCTATATTTGTTTCTTTATTTTTTAGAACATCTCTTCTTTTTAACATCTGAGACTCCAAAACTTCTGCTCAAATGATGTATTTTTTCCCACCCAAAAAATTTTGATATTATTGTGTCAATTTTTCAGTTCACCTTTGCATTTTTTGACTCTTTAATCTGCTAGATTTAAATCCAAGCAGTAATAACCCTGTATCTTTCATATTGGAGGTGAATACAGTGGCTAAATTTTATTAACTTCTATATTGAAGATATGATGAAAAGTGAATTGTGACAAGCCCTAGGTTCCAGGAATTCCTTTCTAATAAATCTTTTACCTGTATGGTGCCACTATGGACCATCATATATAGGTGTTTGTCAAGTGAATTAAGACATGGTACAGTAACAGCTTATTCTTCCATCTTTTTGGGGTTGTTATAGTGATCATGTTCCAACATATGACTCAGCTAATAGCCTGATACTAATGACACTACATAATCAAAGAGGTATCTTATGTACTCTTAGTTGTTCAACTCTTCTTTGTTTCTTTTTTTCACATCCCTGGCACCATTAATTTGTATTGATTCACCCTCATTGATGCATTTGAAATCTTTTTCACATATCCAAATTAACCTTAACTGTTCTCATTTTCTTAAAATAACACCATCTTACTTTCTGCCAATGCAATTGTTTCTAATTTTTTTCTTGTTGAATTACAGGCATCAATCTTTTTCAATGTTGTCTTGCATTTACTCAGCCATCATAGTACTAAAGATTGTATGTCTATGTATGTCGATGCTTAGGGATAGGGCATTCCCTACCATTTTTTTCTCCCTCATGTTTGGGGTTTTGTGCGAGAGACTGGTGCTCTTGTTAAAGTTTTGTATCGCGAGATCCACACAATTGTGTCACCAACATTTTTTTTAATATGATGTTCACTGTCCTATTTTCTTTTCATTCTGTGTACTGTAGTGGTGGAAAACATAATACATCTCTCCATTTTAACCAAAAAGTATGACCCATTGCATGAGGCTGTTGCTAGTGGTTACTTAGGAAGGTCAATGGACACAGCATTTCATCTTGCTTTTATCCTGTAAGCAAGATCTTAGCATCCATTTCTTTGTTTAACTGTAGAATCCTAGATACCAAAATTTTTATTTTCTATAGTGTCTTGAACACCAATTTAACAATAGTTGTTATTTTTTCTCTGTGTATGTCAATATATTTTTCATGGGTTCAAATCTAGTCTTTATCCTGGTTACAATTGTCCTTTCATCTTCTAAAGTTTTTCGCTAGCTCTTTTCACTTAATGCAGGTACTACGACTTGTAAGTTGTAAGAACAAATGACCCAAGTAATTTTCAGAATGTGATAATCCATAAAAAGACATGTTAGAGTGGGATAATGATATAAGCATTATAGAAAGGTGAATTTTTTGCGAGAATATGTTTTCCCTTATTAGCTTGTTGGATATAATTGGTCTTCATTATGTTTTTTATACATTACATTTATCATGCTATTTGGATCCATCCTACTGGCTTGCTTATTCCTTTATCTAGCAAGATTCAAATGGATTTTTCATCATGACATCAAAGTAGGTCTTTGGTAGGGGTGTTCAAATCAAACTAGAAAATCGAACCCGAACCAGTTCATCAATAATTCGATTTTGAAAACTATAAATGGTACCAGTTTGTGAGAGTACACTTCTTCGATTTGATTAACCTGTTCTGACCGAACCGAACCGATTTTAATTTTAATAAAATACCAACTCAACCCAAAGACCCCAAAAACTCGATGAGTTCACTGCTCTTCCTTCGTCTCTGCGGCTCTTCCTCATCGCTCCCTTCTTGGCCTTGCTCTCTCGTCTCAGGTATGAACCCTATATTTTTTTATCATCTTTCTTCGTTAATAATCCCCTTGTTGATTTGTATATATTATTGCATATCCTCATCAAGAAAAAAAGATTGCATGTAAAGTCGATATTCCTCTAGGGCATCTTTCAATAAAAAAATAAAAACCCACTCGTGTATAGGCTCAATTGTATAGAATGTTTAGAATGATATTTGTGATTTAAACTTTTTGAGAATATAGGTCCAATTGGATCAAAATTCTGGTTTGGTTCAGTTAAACTAGATCGATTCACCGAACTGAACTGGTTTTTTTGAAATATTTATATATTTTAAATTACTTAAAATTGAAAACTGGTTAACTGAACCAGATTAACGGGTTTTAAATTGGTTCGGTTAGGTTGGTTTGAACTGGTTCCAGTTCGGAGTACCGTTTTTTCAGTTTGGTTCAGTTCAACCTTTAATGGCTTGGTTCGAACCTCTTTGAACACCCCTAGTCTTTGTTTCAATTCTCTACAATTCTCTAAGCATGGTTTCTTCCTTATTTAAGCTCCATGCAGCAGACTTAACCATTCTGTCAACCCACATGTGATAAGCAATTAAGCATTAAATATATATGAATGGACCATGGTCCATTTATCGCCTTAAGCATTTATATGAATTAGTAGATATTAACATTCCTGACACAGTGAGCTGTTAGTTAGAGGTTCTACTCGAACCAAAATTTTATTTTCTACTCTGTTGTGCAAGGCAACTGAGATATAATTCGACTCTCTGGTATTTTTGATGGGAATATACATTAGTTGGCTTTCCACTCTACTTGAGCTTGATTTGTCTTCCATGGGTCTGACTAAGGTCCATGGATTGGTGGAAGTTTGAGCTCCTCCATCTCTGAAAATCTATTGTTAAAGCCTTAAAGGTATAACATGAAAATGCATGTGACACAATGATATATGTTGAAACTTTTTTGAATTGAAGCTTTGAAATGATTTGAGCTATAGCCTTCTTTGATAGATATAATTATGTGGGATAGTTTTACTGTGATCAAAAGCATTAGATCTGTATGGTCTGATATTACTGTATGGATCTAGTGTTTTTATTCATGATTAGTATCTGAACCTTTCCTGTGGCCTCTTCCAGAATTTAATTGCATGATTCAATTCCTGTTGTGATGCTTCTGAGATTGTTTATCAATTAATGAACCATGAGATTCATAAAGTCCATGGCATACTGCATTGCGTTGCTGCCTTTATCCTCAAGTTCTTGGTACTGAAAAGTGATGAACCCACCTTAATTGTGACCGTGGTTTCTTTCTTTTAATGTCCAGGAACTGCTAAGACAAGAAAGGCGCAAAAACCGTAGCGGTTTCTCTGTCACGTTTGTTACGATTGTGGCTCTTTTGGGGATCATCATAGGCTTTCTCATCAAGAAAACATAGAAACACAGACCGATTACGTGGAAGTTCCTGCTTCAAGCATATGTTGTCTTCATGCGCCTAACAGAATGGCTTCCCCATGAGTATTGATCTATATATGAGTTGATTCATTTTGTCAAAGACAATGATCATTTGTGCATTCGAGTTCATCATTTTGCTCTTTTCTTAAATATCGGCAAATTTCAATCTCTGATGTTTACATTTGTAGCACTCCGTTGAAAGATTTGCTTCGGCTGTTCCAAATCTTCATGACCCTTAAATACGAGTTATGGATCTTATGGAGAGAGAGAGAGAGAGAGAGAGAGAGAGCAATGGAATAGAATAACTAGTTCTGGATCTATTATCATCAAGGTTTATCATTCTGATTTATTTTGCTGGTAAAGAAATTCCTTGCTTGCTAGTGTCTGTAAACTAACAATTTCAGTAGGAGAAAGTGAACTAATTCATCATAATCATTGTTTTTTTTTTGTCAGAACACAACATGCAAATGTTGCTCGCATGAACGCATACCATTTTACAGGTGCAGAGTTCAAGTCGGAATCGCCTTCAGGTGGGCACCAGGAAACTCTCCTCCTCCATTCCGAAGAAACACGCTGCCACCCCAATTGCTGCGGCCGCTGCAGTCACGACAATGATGAACCGGCAGCAGCAACCTGCGAGCCGACGTGCCATCTCCCCATCTTTGCCTCTTACACTACTCCTTTTGTTCCGCTCCGCTGCTACTGAACCCTCTACATTCTCGTTCGTAAGCGGAGCAAAATCCTCTGGCTTTGGTACATTATTCTCCTCCTCCTCCTCAGCCTTCTTCTCCTCCTCCCTCTCTGCTTCCTCCTCCTCGAAGCATTTGTCTGTGCAGGAGCACATGGACACATTACAAAGGCCATCTTCGAGCAACCCGCTGGGGTCGTCCCTTTCGTGCAGCGCTTGGTCGAGGGCCTTCAGCCGTTCGTCGATGTGCAGTAAGTGCTGTGGCAGCGTGTGGTTGGCATGAGACTCCATCTCGGCAGCGAGCAGGGCCTTGAGGAAGTCCACCTTCCCCGCCAAATCGTTGCAGATGGTGTGGTTCTCGAAGGACAATGACGCGATGGAGAGTTGACGGAGCCGCGATTCAAGCTCCGCGAGATTCTTGTGCAGCACTGCGTAGGGTCTCTCCATGGCCGCCGGCCGCCTCCTCATGCTGTGCTCCTCTAGTGGCGGGATGGCTTGGTTGAGAAGCCAACGGTTGCGGCGTTCAAAAAGTGGTTGGTGCATGCCGTTACCCGGCGAATGGTCGCGGCTTTTGAACCCCAAAAGCCGCGCAGAAGCCACGACCGCTCACGCTCATGTCGTGCTCGACCATTTGAATTATGGCAAAAGACACGACCCGATCCTATTGAGGTCACCGAAGCCGGATTATGATGTCATTACGATTTGGACCAACATTACGAGGCACGATTCCTAGCCGTTTCCATGACACGAATCACAACTGAGCAGTAGGGACTACACAATTTACCCTCGATACATTAAAATATTTATATTAATTTTTTTATAATTATCAAAGTAAAATATTTATGTCCATTTATCCTCGATTTTATCAATGAAAATATAAAAATAATAGATAAAAAAATAATTTTAATCGTTCCTATTGGTGGTGGTGGATAACATCAATGGTGAAGGACGACGATATTATTGGGAGCTGCGGGTGGCTATTATGGATGAAGAGAGTGGTAACAAGATGTGAGGGTCATTTATCGGCGTTGACATAGTTGTCAAGCGATGAAAAGGCTGCTCGGCATCTGTATTGACGTTGATGCAGATATAGGTCGCTCGGCAACTACGTCGACACCGATATAGTTATCGAGTGGTTCTTTTGTCGCTCTACATTTGCGTCAACATCAACGTAATTGCTAAGTGGTGAAAGGCCCGTCGATGCAGATGTCAAGTGGTCCTTTCACCACTCGACAACTATGTCAATACTGATGCAGATATAAAGCAACGAAAGAGTAGCTCACTACGTTAGTGTCAATGCAATTGTCGAGCGACAAAAGGGTCGCTCACTACGTTAGTATCAATGCAGTTATTAAGCAACGATAGGGTCGCTCACTACATCGGCATCGACACAGTTACTGGGCAATGAAAGTGCAGCCTGACATCTACATTCGCAATGACACAGATGCAAAATGGCATCGCTTGGCAACTAAGTTGATGTTGACGCAGTGAGCAGCCCTTTCATTGCTCAGTAATTGTATTGACATCGACATAGTGAGCGATTGTTTCGTTGCTTGAGAACTGCATTGATGTCAATGTAGTGAGCGGCCCTTTTGTTGCTCTAAATTTGCGTTGACATCAACGCAATTGTTGAGCAACGGAAAGGCCACTCACTACATCGGCGTCGATGCAGTTGCCGAGTGACGGAAGAGTCGCTCACTACGTTGGCATCGACATAGTTGTCAAGCGACGAAAGGGCTGCTCGACATTTGCATTAATGCCGACATAAATGCTGAGTAGCGTCGCTCGGCAAATGCGTCAGTGCCACGCAAATGCGTCGACGCACTTGCAACCCTTTCATTATGCATACAATTATTTACATGACCACTATTTTATAGTAAATTAAATTTATACTTATCAAATTGAACTAAAAAATAAAGATATCAATGAAAAACTATATTTCTTAATGAGCAAGTGTGGTAGGGAGTGATGCACCTATCAAATTGGGAGTATAGGGTCATAAGATACCTTAATTAAAAATCATACATCTTTAATTATTGATTTATAATAATTCATAGGAAAAATTTATAAAATCCCTTATAAAATAGACTATACTTAACCTAAAAATTCATCTAAATTTCATCACCAATTTTCTAACAATTCATTATATAAATAAATGATTCTGTGAAAAAAATTTACAAACAGTTGACCAAACAATATTAAATTATTATAAAATTTTGTAAAAAATTAGGAGACATAAACTAAATACACATCAAATTTTAGTTTAAAATAATATCATTTGGAGGCTAAACTACCCTTCTAATTTAACTATGAACACCTATTTTATTCTACGAAACTGGGTTGGGACTATTTGAACTTATAAATCTCATATCTTGGTACACAGAAATGGTATACACTCAATTCTAAATCTTACAAAAACTCTAAGGAAACCTTTTAAAATATATCAAAAGAATATAACCTATGAAAATATATCATATATCCGTAAGAGGGTTGATTTAGCTCAAATATAACCCCTTCTCAAAAAACAGATTATGAGTACCTCAAATTGAGACAATCAAAACTCTATACACTGATCTCATATTAAGATTATACCAGAGGCATTAGAACCATAAGAGAATCATCCAAAATATATCCAAAAATTAATAATAAATTTAAAATTTAGGTGACTCAAAAGTAGCCAAAATGTGAATATATAATTTGTAAAATTAAAATCCTAAACATAACAGAAAAGAATTAGGTTTGTTTTACCTCAATCTTCTTTAGAATATGGGTTTCTAAGCCTCTACCAGAAAAGTTAAGAGAATGATTGACGAAAAAGAGAAAGGGTCGTGGGTTATCAAGTTGGTAAAGAGGCCGAGGCTAAAATAAGGTAGAGGTGTTTAAGAGAATTGCCTTGAGAACTAGGGTTTAATCTCATTAGGCCTCATTTTAAAAAAAAGGTTCTTTTATTTTTTTACTAATATAATTCTAATATTACACTAAGTTCCATTGAGTTTAATTTTATTTAACATAAATTATTTTTTTTTATAACATTTTATATAATTTTATGCAACATTTTATATAACACTCCTATTTGATTTGTATCTCTATTTAATTTTTAATTGCTCAATCCATGCTTAAGTATCTTAAACTTGTTGTGTGATGATTAATATAAATATTATGTATGCTCAACCAATATTCCCATAGAATATTGAGAATAATATTTTAAAAAAACAGATACTTGAACCTTAAAAGTCAAAAACTTGAATATATCATTTATCACATTTATTAAATATAAACATCACAAATCATATCACTGAGTGACAATAATATATATATATATGTATATATATATTATATTTTTATTAGCATACTAGTTATAGACTCTAGTATTACATTGGTTGGGTAAGGTTTAATTCTTCAAATTTACAAAACTCTTTATAAGTTTGTAATATTTTTTTTACAAAAGGTATAATACTTCACCAACGAAAAGAAATTGTAATACGCTGCACTACCCTCATGGATAGTGTGAGGACATAAAAATACCATGGTTCTTAAAAAAATAACAACACTAGGAGAGCCAAAAGCTCAAGACTAGTAAAAGTATACCAAAAAAAGTTATAGATAATTTTCTACAAAAAAAGTAAATGACGCAGATAAAATTTTAAATTATTATTCATTTTTTCAACTAAACTGGTAATTTAATGCACCACTAGCGACTCTTTACTATTTGCATCGGCTTCAATAAGATGAGACAACTTAAGTGTCCAGAAAAAGAAAAAAAAAAAACTTTTGCAGTGACGTGCTGAGGTGAGTCAAAAAATCAGCAACCTTGTTTTTGACTCTTCTAATAGAACAGATGAAAATTAAAGATTCTAAAGAATACCACAAATAGGATGCTATGCACGTTGCTCAAAGAATGCTGCAATGTGAATGGGGCCAAAGACATCTTACACTAGAAGGAAGAAACAAAAATTCCAGCAAGCTTATTCTCCTCGAGGAAAATTTCTTTTTCCTTATGGATACTGGGCGTATCTTACAAGTAGAGACATTGAAACGTGAAGTACAATCGAGATTCTTGCAGAGTGTGTAGACCACTTGTTGCATTTGACTATATATGGCACTGTGATATACAAAACTTGGACAGACCTTGATACATGCTATGACATATATTTACTGGGATGCCACTAGGGCTATTGCATAAGATTATTGACAGTAATGTCGATGTTGTTGGTTCTCAGGAGATTCTGCAAAAAAGGATGCCAAAAGAAGACATCAATGATATCCAGTCTCATTGGAAATCAGGAATGAAACACAACAATGAAAATACCTGTACAATAAGTTCATCTGGAATATGTGGCAAAACCTCGCGTACTATATCTACCATAGCGAGTAACTCGGACATATTGTTTACAGAGGGTGAAGTATTCCTAATATGTAGACCAGTTGCATTTCTGTTCATCCTGAGGGAAGAAGATGAAGGAAGAGAAGGCATTGAGGTATGCTGAGAAGGCCATGGAGTCCAAGCATCATTATCTAGAGAACCATGGGCAAAGTTTTCACTAACAGATGCTA